AACTCGGAGCCCGTTCTGGAACTACGGCCGACATTCAAGACACGTGCGAAGGGGGGGGGGAGTGAGGAGAGGGGGAAATACAGGGCTAAAAATAGACGCACCGGTGATGCGCGGAAAGTGTGGAGAAGGGCGGGGGGGTGGGGGGTGCTGAAGTGATGTGTCAGACGAATCAAAGGTGAACAAGTAGTCGGGGTTTTTAGAGAAAGTGCTTTTGGGAAGGGTGGGGATGGGAGGGGAGAGGACACTTTGTAGCAATTTAGCCTGACAAAACACGGGGGAAGGGGAAGTAACCGACACCTGGGTTGTAGCGCGGTATTTATAGAGGGACGTCTAGGAATAGCACAGGGTTCCTGCTCCGTATTTTCTGGGAAATTTTTCAGCCTTTTACCAAAAGGGCAGCCCGCGAGTCAGGTTGTGGCGGCATGTTGCCTGTTGGTGAACATCAGGGCCGATCCTTGAGTGATGGTGTCGTTGCACTCACCTCGTTTGGCGTGAGGCGTCCTCGAGAATGGATTCATTTTACCAACATCAATCGCCGTGGGTTTCTTTCAGACATTTTTTTTTCCTTTTCCGAGGGGGGTGGGGCACTTCAAACTTTCAGGGGGTGTGGGGACGCTTAAGTTTCCGGGGAGGTGTGGGTACTTGAAAATTTCAGTGTGCGCTTAAATTTCCGGGGAGAGTGCGCATGAAACTTCGGGGGCGGGGGGGAGACGCTTAAATATCTGTGAAGGGGTCTGCTTGAAACTTCCGGAGGCGCTTAAATTTCCGGGCAGAGGCGCGCTTGAAACTTCCGGAGGGTGCTTAAAGTTCCGTAGAGGGCTGCGCACACTGGTTAAAGTATGTTTTCTATTTAAATTATATATTTTTCTATTTCGTCCGGGGTGGGGTGGGGGTGGGGCTTGCTTGTTTAATTAATTTCGAGTTCATTAGCCCGGGTGACCACTTTAAAACCTGGATCCAAACAGGTTCGACCAATATTCGGACCTTCGGGAAGTCATTAAATTAATCCACCGCACATTCCATACACACTCTCTTGTGAACTTCAATGAACGACATTTAATTATTACGGTACATCGATATATTGTGAAGGAATGTAGGCCGATGAAATTGAGTCATAAGGAATGAAGGCCGATGAAATTGAGTCATAAGGAATGTAGGCCGATGAAATGGAGTCATTACTGAGGCCGATCAAACAATCAAACAATTTTTTTTTAAAAAGACGATATGAAATATAACCTGTACTACAGGTATGATAACCCACGCGCATCAAGAAATGCATTTCATTCTTTACTCACACACAAAACTACTACTCACATTTCGACCGAATTCAGAGTGAGTAGTTAAGCGTTTTAGTTTAAAGCCGAGCGATTCAGCAACCTGCCCTCGTATCTTCACCTCAGTTGAAACTACCCCGCCCCCCCCCCTTCTCCCTACCTCCCCCACCCACCCCGTGTGTTTGTGTAGAAAGGTAGAGCTGTATCGTGTGAGTTCGGCATTTCGTGTGTTGGACGGTACTCAACACGTGTCAGCAACGTACGTTTGTATGTTGGACGGTATGTTGGACGTGTTGTACGGTATGTTGGACGGTATGTTAGACGGTACTCAACACGTGTCAGCAACGTACGTTTGTATGTTGGACGGTATGTTGGACTGTGTGTTGGACGGTACTCAACACGTGTCAGCAACTTACGTTTGTATGTTGGACTGTGTGTTGGACGGTATGTTGGACGTGTTGTACGGTATGTTGGACGGCACTCAACACGTGTCAGCAACGTACGTTTGTATAATGGACGGTCTGTTGGACGGTATGTTGGACGGTATGTTGGACGGTACTCGACACGTGTCAGCAACGTACGTTTGTATGTTGGACGGTATGTTGGACGGTATGTTGGGCGGTATGTTGGACGGTACTCGACACGTGTCAGCAACGTACGTTTGTATGTTGGACGGTATGTTAGACGTTATGTTGGATGGCATGTTGGATGGTATTTAACACGTGTCAGCAACGTACGTTTGTATGTTGGACGTCGTGTTGGACGTGTGTTGGACGGTATGTTGGACGTGTTGTACGGTATGTTGGACGGTATGTTGGACGTGTGTTGGACGGTATGTTGGACGTGTTGTACGGTATGTTGGACGGTATGTTGGACGTGTGTTGGACGGTATGTTGGACGTGTTGTACGGTATGTTGGACGGTATGTTGGACGGTACTCAACACGTGTCAGGAACGTACGTTTGTATGTTGTACGGTATGTTGGACGTTATGTTGGATGGTATTTAACACGTGTCAGCAACGTACGTTTGTATGTTGGACCGTATGTGGGACGGTATGTTGGACGTCATGTTGGAGGGTGTGTTAGAGGGTATGTTGGAGGGTGTGTTGAACGGTACTGAACACGTAGGTTTGTATGTTGGACGATGCTACCTGAATGTATAATATACTTCTTTGTTTCTATATAACTCAAAAGGTGTCGTGTACATATTATACGTTACTCAAAAGTTAGTTTTAACTCAAAACGTGGCGGTTGGTGTGATAATATTGTATGGGGAGTACTTCATTCGGTGTTACAAACACATTTATGACGTCACAGTGTTCTCAAACTAGTGTCACTAAGGCCTTTGAGACGTCACAGGGTATTAAAACGAGTGTCGCGAAGATCTTTGCGACGTCACAGGGGTACTAAAACGAGTGTCACGAAGATCTTTGTGACGTCACATGGGTACTAAAACGAGTGTCACGAAGATCTTTGTGACGTCACAGGGGTACTAAAACGAGTGTCACGAAGATCTTTGTGACGTCACAGGGGTACTAAAACGAGTGTCTCGAAGATCTTTGTGACGTCACAGGGGTACTACAACTGGTGCCATGAACACGTGATGGACGCTGCTCTATAAGGATACGCTGGGATACCAGAGCTACTGCGTGTTCTACACACATGGCACGGGCCATCCCCTTTAATTACTCACCAACTTAATTATTCTTTTTTCTCTGCGCTCCAACCTACTCATCTCTAGTCCACGTAGAAGATGGAACATCAACCCAAACAATCTGTGGCAGTAACCGCTAGACAGGCGAGTCCATCCACGTATCCGGTTACTGTGTTTCCTACCTGGTGTATTTTCTTTAGTTCTGTACCTACTAGATAAACAGGGGTACCGTGTGGTCTGAGGAAGATAGAATCGGTGGCGTGACTAGGTCGGGTGTCACGCTGTGCGGTACCTCGGATATATAAAAGCGATAGGGTTCTTAGACGTTTTCCTCCTGGGTGGTACTTGAAACTTCCGGGGTGCGGGGACACGGGTTAGATATATACGAGCCGACCCGCTGTGTATCATACGCCGCTATTTAGTCGTTTTATTTTCTACTTTTCAGTTATTCATAATTTGTGAATTCGACAGTACCAATGCTGCCACAGAAAATATTTGCTTTAAAACACTATCAGTAGGTCGTTAAGAACTATACTACCCCAACCCTACCCTACCCCCCCCCCCCCCCGTGAAAGCAGTCTCCTCTTAGTTACCTTCCCTAAGTTTAAAATCGTTTCAAACTAAATTATCTGCCCCTAATAGCCGTCACTAAACCCGGCTCTACGATGGTAAATATTTAGCGTGAACCACAGCTCACCAGACCATGTAGGGGTGGTGTGGTAGGGAGCACGCTTACCAGGGGCGGAACTACAGTGCCGCCAGACCCCGCAATGCGGGGGGGGGGGGGGGGCACGTCATTTAGGGGCCCACAGCCGACCATAATAAAAAAATTTATAGTTAACATTTTTAAAAAATTTCTTTCATTTTTGACTTGATGGTTGTAATGTAAAAAGATCTGCGGTTGGATTATCTTTAGACATCTTCTCATGCTCTTGTATATTCTTTTCCCCTTTGTTTTTAAACCACTGTGAAAGCCAAGTCCTCTTTCTCCTATAATAAAACTTAGCAAAGATAAGCAAACGTTCAAACCACTTTCATGACTTATTTCCCTTCTTTAAATTGTCAATAGGGGTGCTCATACGATCCTTTTAATAAATTTGTACTAAACAAATTAAAAAAACAATTACTTCTCCTAATTATTATTTTTTTATAAAGTACTTACTAAAGAATACCATTGTATAAAAAGGAAATGTTTTAGAATTAATAATATAAATACGAAAAAAAATAACAATAAACATAACACGAGACACCATTACTTTTACAAAGCTTTCACGGTTTATATACTTTTGACCGACTATAGGTGACTATGTCTTATAGCAGAAATAAATATAAGCTGATTTTTCAAATAGACTAATGCGCACACATACATGACAAGTTGATGTAATTTGCTTTAATTGGAAAAAAAAACACTTTTTTTTCAAAACCCGAACAGGCCAGCAATGAGTATCTTATGTTCGTATTTTGTGTTTGTATATATATATATATATATATATATATATATATATATATATATATATATATATATATATATATATATATATATATATATATATATATATATATATATAGGGGGGGGGCCTAAAAAATTTTTTTGCGGGGTGGCCCTTTTTTTCTAGTTCCGCCACTGACGCTTACAGCTTGTTTTCTAGCGTCTCCAAGAAGAGAATTATATATATAAATTTTCTAATAGAAATTCTACATTAATTTTTTTTTTAAATATATTTCGTGAATGGTATCAGTGGGCGTGCTCTGGTGTCAGTAATGACGACCCGTTAAATTATTAATAAAACTGTGGATTGTCTCTGTAACTACCAGATTGCGGTCTTGATGGTTCCTTCCCCCCCCCCCCCCTCTTACTTAAGTATATTAAATTCAATTAGTTGAACTGGTAAAATGTGACTGCGGGAGAGTTCATATGTGCTAACTTCAGACCCGCGGGGTAAAAGGGGCGTTTAGCTGGAGACAGCAACATCAGTCCTGAGATAAAACCTCTACATGTTATGGAAAATAAACTTCAACAACTATAAAAAAAAAACCATCACAGCTACGAAATAAAACCTCAACAACTATGTAAAAAAAACTGTAAAAAGATAATTTATTCATGTTACCGTCATGTTATTACATCAAAGATCATGTGACATGACTTTCAATGTCATACTTTTCTAATGCCATAATATATGACATTTCTACTCTGTTGCATAGAAGGAATGAACAACTTGAACTGGCACTTAACTTAATGTGCAAGATTTAAATAAAAATACATGTTTAGAATCAATCAACATTAGAGTATGTCACAGGCTTGACAGATGGTCCATACACTGACCTCCACACAAAGGTCACAGGCTGACAGATGGTCCATACACTGACCTCCACACAAAGGTCACAGGCTTGACAGATGGTCCATACACTGACCCCTAAAGGTCACAGGCTGACAGATGGTCCATACACTGACCTCCACACAAAGGTCACAGGCTTGACAGATGGTCCATACACTGACCCCTAAAGGTCACAGGCTGACAGATGGTCCATACACTGACCTCCACACAAAGGTCACAGGCTGACAGATGGTCCATACACTGACCTCCACACAAAGGTCACAGGCTGACAGATGGTCCATACACTGACCTCCACACAAAGGTCACAGTCTGGACAGATGGTCCATACACTGACCTCCACACAAAGGTCACAGGCTTAACAGATGGTCCATACACTGACCCCCACACAAAGGTCACAGGCTAGACAGATGGTCCATACACTGACCTCCACACAAAGGTCACAGGCTTGACAGATGGTCCATACACTGACATCCACACACAGACTAGTGGGGCTCAGAGGCCAGTAATACTGAGAGGAATGGTGGCTGGATGTCATTCAACTATAGAGTTGATTGCTTCACTGATGTGTGCTTGATGTTACAGGGATGTCTGCTGAATGTTACAGGGATGTCTACTTAAGAGGGATGTCTAATCGATGCAGCGTGAATGTTTGAAGGGATGTTTACATGCTGCACGGGATGTCTACTTGATGTTGCAGGGCGGGATGTCTACTTGATGTTGCAGGGGGGATGTCTACTTGATGTTGCAAGTGTGTCTACTTGAGTTTTTTGATCCTCCTAAGCTGGATGTAGGCCAGAAAGAGGTAACAGAAGATCATGATGCCCATCGCTGCCTCATTCAACCACAGGTCCCAGATTGTCTGGTAGGGGATTTTCTGCTGCTCTAGGTAGAAGTTGCCTGATATACTGGGGACATGAAAAAGTTGTTACAGCTTTGTAACCAAAAATATGGCTATTTTTTTAAATTTATCTGGCCATATCTGTCTGATATACTGGGGACATAAATGAGTTTCAGCTTGGTAACCAACAATATGGCTATTTTTATTAAAATTGATCTGGCCATAGTTGCCTGATATACTGGGGACAAGAAAAGTTGTTACAGCTTGGTGACCAAAAGAATATGGCAATTTTTATTAAAATTGATCTGGCCACAGTTGCCTGATATACTGGGGACATGAAAAAGTTGTTACAGCTTGGTGACCAAAAGAATATGGCTATTTTTATTAAAATTGATCTGGCCACAGTTGCCTGATATACTGGGGACATGAATGAGTTACAACTTAGTGAACATCAATATGGCTATTTTTATTAAAATTTATCTGGCTACAGTTGCCTGATATACTTCATCGCACTCCCATAGCATATTAATGTAACAAGACTAAGTGCTTGGAGGAAAGTAAATGGCTTGACTTCAAAAAACCCATCCTAACATTCATATTAGACTGTACAAGAGAGCTTACCACTGTGTTGCATTGTTACAGAACACTTGATCCTTCAACTCATTTACACTCAGGGCCTGGGGAATAATAAAATACCTGAGTAAATTCATTGATTTATTAATAAATAACTCATACAAGTTCTGAATAAATAAACCTTAAGTCTAAAGCTAGTTTCTTATACTTTTTTAGCATCAGACGAAGAAGAGATCACCTGTACATGTATCCCTAACTTAAATGTAGATTTTGTGATTGGTTTTCAACTCCAAAACAATTTGACTAGTCATAGGTGGCCCTCTGGTATACTTAACCTGTCCATTTCCCAACTATTATTTTCAGTGATTAAAATTCTACTTACATTTAAACTAAATCTGAATATACTAAGATACTTGATCCAGCTAATCCAGTCGCCAAGATCACCAACATTGATCAGCAGACCGCTAAACAGCTGCAAACAGAAACAAAAATTGTTATTTAAATCACAGTCGGTGGTGAAGGAAAATGTCAAGCAGTAAAAATAAAAAAAAGTAACCCCACAACAGTCTTTAGACACCAGCCAGGAAACAGAAGCCTAGACACTCAGATCTCTAAACTTACCACCCATAAACGTAGTACAAAGCCTAACACAACTTACCATCATAAAAACATAACACAAAGCCCAACACAAACTATCATCATAAAAACAAAGCCAAACACAACTTACCATCATAAAAACATAACACAAACCAAACACAACTTACCATCATAAAAACATAACACAAAGCCAAACACAATTTGTCATCATAAAAACAAAGCAAAACACAACTTACCATCATAAAAACATAACAAAGTGAAACACAACTTACCATAATAAAAACAGCACAAAACCAAGCACAACTTACCATTATAAAAACAAAGCCAAAAGAACTTACCATCATAAAAACATAACACAAAGTGAAACACAACTTACCATCATAAAAACATAACACAAAGTGAAACACAACTTACCATCATAAAAACATAACACAAAGCCAAACACAAAACACCATCATAAAAACATAGCAGAAAGCCAAACACAACTTACCATCATAAAAACATAACACAAAGCCAAACAGAACTTACCATCATAAAAACATGACACAAAGCCAAACACAATTTACCATCATAAAAACAAAGCCAAACAGAACTTACCATCATAACAACATAACACAAAGCCCAACACAACTTACCATCATAAAAACATAACACAAACCAAACACAACTTACCATCATAAAAACATAACACAAAGCCCAACACAACTTACCATCATAAAAACATAACACAAAGTGAAACACAACTTACCATCATAAAAACATAACACAAAGCCAAACACAGGTTGGCCAAGGCAAATATCCTGACTGTTGAGCTGATGGCGAATGACAAGGCTGAGGCTGCCAGGGCCGTCAGGAACAAGTTCAAGGTGAAAAAAAAGAAATGATCTACCCCAGGTCGAAGTCCTGAAAACAATTAGCATGGACCTAGTAAACAAATAATAAGACATGATCATGTAGATCAGGGGAGGGATGATAAATGTACAGGCTTAAATATAACTTAAGGGTAACCAGCCTTGTTTAATGAGTTACTTGTAATATTGTAGTTTAGCAGCATTCAGCCAATATAAACAGTTTACCTATTATAAATACACTACTAGCCTATGATAAACAAGATAAATGGTAAACCACTAACCTATCAAAAGTTAAACCACTCACCTATCATAAGTTGAACCATTCACCAATCATAAACTGAACCACTCACCTATCATAAACTAAATCACTCACCCATCATAAACTAAACTACTCACCAATCATAAACTAAACCACTTACCTATCATAAGATAAACCACTCACCTATCATAAACTAAACCACTCACCTATCATAAGTTAACCCACTCACCAATCATAACTTAACCCACTCACCAATCATAAAGTAAACAATGCAGGAAAAGATGAGTGCAGGGATCATCCTTAGAGGGATGACATCACAGAAAACTTTGGCTAGGAAATAGGCAGATACCCTGTAGAATCCACCCACATTTTCATGTCTGGGGACAGGTTGTTTTATCCATTTAGAAAATTAGACTTCAACTTACTACCACTGTCAGTAATTCATTTAGAAAATTACATGTCAACTTACTACCACTGTCAGTAATTCATTTAGAAAATTACAAATCAACTTACTACCACTGTCATTAATTCATTTAGAAAATTAGACTTCAACTTACTACCACTGTCAGTAATTCATTTAGAAAATTACATGTCAACTTACTACCACTGTCATTAATTCATTTAGAAAATTAGACTTCAACTTACTACCACTGTCAGTAATTCATTTAGAAAATTACATGTCAACTTACTACCACTGTCACTAATCCATTTAGAAAATTAGACTTCAACTTACTACCACTGTCAGTAATTCATTTAGAAAATTAAATGTCAACTTACTACCACTGTCAGTAATTCATTTAGAAAATTACACCTCAAATTACTACCACTGTCATTAAATCATTTAGAAAATTAGACTTCAACTTACTACCACTGTCAGTAATTCATTTAGAAAATTACATGTCAACTTACTACCACTGTCACTAAATCATTTAGCTACCAAATACATTTACTGCTGTGTGTAAGACCACACATCTACTAAAACACCACATATAATTAAAACTACTCTATCAGAGCTTGAGATCTATGGGGTAGATGAAATAGAGTTTATCAGTTTCTGTGACCTCGAGATAGTGTGGTCAGCACTATGCCGGATGAACTTACTTTCCCTAACATGGGTGGACAGGGATGTCCTATACACATGAGCCAGGATCAGAACTCCAGACCCTCAGGTTAGCAGCTGTCTGCTCTATCATCCCTACCATTCCATCCCAAAAAAACACTAGAAATAAAACTTACATAAAAATGGCCCTCTCTTTGATAAAAAGTTCCCATAAAAAAACATCAGAAATAAAACTTACATAAAAATGGCCCTCTCTTTGATAAAAAGTTCCCAAAAAAACAACAGAAATAAAACTTACATAAAAATGGCCCTCTCTTTGATAAAAAGCTCCCATAAAAACACAGCAGAAATAAAACTTACATAAAAATGGCCCTCTCTTTGATAAAAAGTTCCCATAAAAAAACATCAGAAATAAAACTTACATAAAAATGGCCCTCTCTTTGATAAAAAGCTCCACAGCCGACATGTTACCAAACACCTGGTTCATGATGATGAAGAAGAAAGCTCCAGCTCTAGAACAAGAATAAAACCGTTGGATGTGGCAATAGCTTGAACACTGGTGGAATTAATATAACAACAAAATGCTCTAATACTCTTGTGACAGCTTGTTGTGTATAAGAACTAATTTAGACAAAAAAAAGGTTTCTGTATAGTGCATGTTTTTTTAATTTTTGTGCTGATGGCTGCTGTTTGTTGTATAGATGGCTGTTTTTTTGTAGTACATGGCTTCTTAATTTCTTTTCAAGTAAGTCACCTGTTCTGTATCCCAGAATCCATTGAGTTACTGGTGTTGAAATAAACACCCCCAACAATCAGAGCAAAAATGGCAATAACAACAAACTGCAACATTAGAGTTAATTATCAGTGGGGTGTGGGGAGGTGTAAGGTTTACAACAAAACAACAGGTCACACGTTAGTCTGTCAAGACAGACTGCCTTTTTGTCAATATATGAGAAGGATTAAGTATGACAAGTATAAATTATGTCAAAGAAAAATTGAATTTGCCAAGGAAGAAAGATATCTACTACTGACAATAAGTAATGCGTTGTAATGAAATATTTCAGTCATTTCAATTTGAAAATTCATCCAATACCTGCATGATAGAAACTTGAGGGTTGCGGGCAATATTCTTGACACATCTTTTGGATACTGTCAACAGCTGAAACATTTTATTCAATTAATAAGCAGCAGCATTCTAGCTCATTAACAAACAAAACTAAATGGAACAAGTAGATCCATACATAAAACTAATTTTAGAAATTCCACACACACAAAAAAAAAAAAGGTCCACAAGGCTAACAAAATAAAATACACACACAAAAATTGGCCAGATGCACAAAAACTTATGAATGGTGTACCTGAACCCCAAAAGATGTTTTGTAATCCACTTTTCTTATTCGCACGACAGTTCCATTGTTTACATCTTGTTTATGGTTGTCTAGTATGGGCTTTAACTCATCTGTTATTCTGTACACATACAAGACATATGATTTGTTACAAAGGCTTTAACTCACCTGGAGATACATATCAACGTCATAATAGTAAAAGAAAGAGTGTTTGTTAGGTAGAATTAAAATAATTTATAGAATGTTTTTAAAAACCTTACAACTGAAACCATGATGACTGTCTGAACTTTTCCTTCAATGGATTGTCTGGAAAACAAATCATTGATCAGTAACACACAACATCAATTTAAGGTAGCTCTGCTTTAGGAGAATTAAGTTATGTTTACAAAACTTGATAATTAACATGCTGCAGAGTTTAGTGGTATATAAAACAAGGATGTGTTCTAGAGAATGAAGAAGAGTACAATAAACTGTGTGGTGGGCTGTTAAGTGGACCAGCTTTAAACCTATTCAACACAATTAAAATGCCTGTAGTAAACTGTGTACATCTTTATTCTTACCTTCTATACCGACTACATGATCTGTCAAGGCACCTACAAAAGACACAAATGTTAATCTTAGTAAAATAAAAAAACAAGTGTTTATTAATAGAAGAGATGAGAACAAATAAAATTGGGTGTGTTGTGTGTGAATGTTTGGTGGATGTGTTGTGTGTGAATGTTTGGTGGGTGTGTTGTGTGTGGATGTTTGGTGTGTGTGTTGTGTGTGGATGTTTGGTGTGTGTGTTGTGTGTGAATGTTTGGTGGGTGTGTTGTGTGTGAATGTTTGGTGGATGTGTTGTGTGTGAATGTTTGGTGTGTGTGTTGTGTGTGAATGTTTGGTGGGTGTGTTGTGTGTGGATGTTTGGTGTGTGTTGTGTGTGGATGTTTGGTGTGTGTGTTGTGTGTGAATGTTTGGTGGGTGTGTTGTGTGTGAATGTTTGGTGGATGTGTTGTGTGTGAATGTTTGGTGTGTGTGTTGTGTGTGACTGTTTGGTGGGTGTGTTGTGTGTGGATGTTTGGTGTGTGTGTTGTGTGTGGATGTTTGGTGTGTGTGTTGTGTGTGAATGTTTGGTGGGTGTGTTGTGTGTGAATGTTTGGTGGGTGTGTTGTGTGTAAATGTTTGGTGTGTGTGTTGTGTGTGGATGTTTGGTGTGTGTGTGTTGTGTGGGAATGTTTGGTGTGTGTGTTGTGTGTGAATGTTTGGTGGGTGTGTTGTGTGTGAATGTTTGATGGGTGTGTTGTGTGGATGTTTGGTGGTGTGTGTTGTGTGTGAATGTTGGGTGGGTGTGTTGTGTGTGAATATATTTAGTGTGTGTGTGTTGTGTGTGAATGTTTGGTGGGTGTGTTGTGTGTGAATATTTGGTGGGTGTGTTGTGTGTGAATACATTTTGTGCGTGTGTTGTGTGTGAATACATTTGGTGTGTGTGTGTGTTGTGTGTGAATGTTTGGTGTATGTAAAGAGATACCTGTATCATCAGCATGACTAGATGAGAGTGCCCCATCTCCCACAGCCTCATGCTTGTCTTGTGTGGAGGAGACAGCTGTAGAGTCTCCATTGATGACATCTAGGAAGAAATCTGAGGGGTTGTTGTGTTCCTCACAGATGTACCCTGGAATAGTCGCAGTGGTGACACATTAGCAGTTATTTAGATGGAGCTGTGGTGACACATTGGCAGTTATTTAGATGGGGCAGTGGTGACACATTGGCAGTCATGTGGACAGAATAGTGGTCACTATAAACAATCATTCAGTCAGATGATAATAGTGAGATGACAAAATTAAAATATGTTGAAGGTAGCTAGCAACCTAATGTTCTATTTCTCATAAAACATTTTTTAAACAATGACACAATAAATTCAAATGTTACAACACTACATACCAATAGAAGTAAAATAATCCAAGGCCTCGCGCGCCACGCCATGGTAGGCAACATCGCCATGAGACAACAGCATGAGGGAATCAAAGAGTCGGTAGATTGAGTAGCGAGGCTGGTGGATGGAGAAAATCACATTCCTTCCACCATCTGCTAGTCTGTATAGAACAAGAAATATCACATGAGACAACAACATGAGGGAATCAAAGAGTCGGTAGATTGAGTAGCGAGGCTGGTGGATGGAGAAAATCACATTCCTTCCACCATCTGCTAGTCTGTGTAGAACAAGAAATATCACATGAGACAACAACATGTGGGAATCAAAGAGTCGGTAGATTGAGTAGCGAGGCTGGTGGATGGAGAAAATCACATTCCTTCCACCATCTGCTAGTCTATGTAGAACAAGAAATATCACATGAGACAACAACATGTGGGAATCAAAGAGTCGGTAGATTGAGTAGCGAGGCTGGTGGATGGAGAAAATCACATTCCTTCCACCATCTGCTAGTCTGTGTAGAACAAGAAATATCACATGAGACAACAACATGAGGGAATCAAAGAGTCGGTAGATTGAGTAGCGAGGCTGGTGGATGGAGAAAATCACATTCCTTCCACCATCTGCTAGTCTGTGTAGAACAAGAAATATCACATGAGACAACAACATGAGGGAATCAAAGAGTCGGTAGATTGAGTAGCGAGGCTGGTGGATGGAGAAAATCACATTCCTTCCACCATCTGCTAGTCTGTGTAGAACAAGAAATATCACATGAGACAACAACATGAGGGAATCAAAGAGTCGGTAGATTGAGTAGCGAGGCTGGTGGATGGAGAAAATCACATTCCTTCCACCATCTGCTAGTCTGTGTAGAACAAGAAATATCACATGAGACAACAACATGAGGGAATCAAAGAGTCGGTAGATTGAGTAGCGAGGCTGGTGGATGGAGAAAATCACATTCCTTCCACCATCTGCTAGTCTGTGTAGAACAAGAAATATCACATGAGACAACAACATGAGGGAATCAAAGAGTCGGTAGATTGAGTAGCGAGGCTGGTGGATGGAGAAAATCACATTCCTTCCACCATCTGCTAGTCTGTGTAGAACAAGAAATATCACATGAGACAACAACATGTGGGAATCAAAGAGTCGGTAGATTGAGTAGCGAGGCTGGTGGATGGAGAAAATCACATTCCTTCCACCATCTGCTAGTCTGTGTAGAACAAGAAATATCACATGAGACAACAACATGTGGGAATCAAAGAGTCGGTAGATTGAGTAGCGAGGCTGGTGGATGGAGAAAATCACATTCCTTCCACCATCTGCTAGTCTGTGTAGAACAAGAAATATCACATGAGACAACAACATGAGGGAATCAAAGAGTCGGTAGATTGAGTAGCGAGGCTGGTGGATGGAGAAAATCACATTCCTTCCACCATCTGCTAGTCTGTGTAGAACAAGAAATATCACATGAGACAACAACATGTGGGAATCAAAGAGTCGGTAGATTGAGTAGCGAGGCTGGTGGATGGAGAAAATCACATTCCTTCCACCATCTGCTAGTCTGTGTAGAACAAGAAATATCACATGAGACAACAACATGTGGGAATCAAAGAGTCGGTAGATTGAGTAGCGAGGCTGGTGGATGGAGAAAATCACATTCCTTCCACCATCTGCTAGTCTGTGTAGAACAAGAAATATCACATGAGACAACAACATGAGGGAATCAAAGAGTCGGTAGATTGAGTAGCGAGGCTGGTGGATGGAGAAAATCACATTCCTTCCACCATCTGCTAGTCTGTGTAGAACAAGAAATATCACATGAGACAACAACATGAGGGAATCAAAGAGTCGGTAGATTGAGTAGCGAGGCTGGTGGATGGAGAAAATCACATTCCTTCCACCATCTGCTAGTCTGTGTAGAACAAGAAATATCACATGAGACAACAACATGAGAGAATCAAAGAGTCTGTAGATTGAGTAGCGAGGCTGGTGGATGGAGAAAATCACATTCCTTCCACCATCTGCTAGTCTGTGTAGAACAAGAGTTGTATACCAATGTTAGTCTATCTAATTAAAACAATAGAATTATCTAATTTGTAAACTTTAGATGATAGTGATAGCATTAATTATAGCATGGTACCAATTGTAGCATGATATTAATTGTTGTGTATCAAATGTAACATCCTACAGTAGCATGGTCGTAAAAAGCAATAGAATATAGCAAGATACTAGTTTTGTAGATGGTACCATATTCTAACTTGCTTTGCACCGTTTTTAGTCATAAAGGGTTAAAAGGGCAGATGAAGTAGAGTTCACTTGCTTCTGTGCCCTCTGTTTTTTAAGGGATAATGTGGTCAGTTAGTGCTCAGCTACCGTAACTTTTCATAACTGAACAGGTACCTATCAGAGCTTTCGGGATTCAGAGAATTGAACAAATTCAGGCCCAGAATAAAACTTGCGACAGTGTTAGCAATATGTCTGGTGATACTCTGATGCTGATTTTGAAACCAACACTCTCTCCAATGTTTTGACAACATACCTTTTGAGACCAACACACTCTCTCCAACGTTTTGACAACATACCTTTTGAGACCAACACACTCTCTCCAATGTTTTGACAACATACCTTTTGAGACCAACACACTCTCTCCAACGTTTTGACAACATATCTTTTGAGACCAACACAATGTTTTGACAACATACCTTTTGAGACCAACACAATGTTTTGATAACATACCTTTTGAGACCATCACAATGTTTTGACAACATACCTTTTGAGACCAACACACTCTCTCCAATGTTTTGACAACATATCTTTTGAGACCAACACAATGTTTTGACAACATAACTTTTGAGACCAACACAATGTTTTGACAACATACTTTTTGAGACCAACACAATGTTTTGACAACATACCTTTTGAGACCAACACAATGTTTTGACAACATACCTTTTGAGACCAACACAATGTTTTGACAACATAACTTTTGAGACCAACACAATGTTTTGACAACATACCTTTTGAGACCAACATAAAGTTTTGACGACATACCTTTTGAGACCAACACAGTGTTTTGACAACATACCTTTTGAGACCAACATAAAGTTTTGACAACATACCCTTTTGAGACCAACACAAAGTTTTGACGACATACCTTTTGAGACCAACACAATGTTTTGACAACATACCTTTTGAAACCAACACAATGTTTTGACGACATACCTTTTAAGGAGCAACATGACAGCATTGGCTGTACTAGCATCTAGGCCAGTTGTTGGCTCATCCAGGAAGAGAACAGGTGGAGAGATGATCAGCTCCATGCCTATGTTACATCTCTTCCTCTCCCCTCCAGACACCCCTCGGATGAATTCATTACCCACCTGCATCATAGAGAGCAATCTATTATTACATTGCTCGCAAATAGGAATCAACAGAAATACTGTGTAGAATAAATTATTTATTAATGTTAATTGTCAATTTGCCTGGAAAGCTCTTGTAAGCTGCCTATGTTCTAGGAGGGGCGACAGCCAAACCTAACCTGACCTAATTGTGAATTTAGTTAATGAAAAATTGATGGCCCACCTTTGAGTCAGCCACCTCGGTCAGACCCAGCTCGTAAATGGTTTGATTCACTCTTTCTCTCCTTTCAGACTTTTTAACAGACTTGGGCAGACGCAGTGTTGCTGAGAACTCAAAGTTTTCTCTCACTGTCAAAGTGCCCATCACAACATCATCCTGTGCCATAAACAAAAGAAGATTTAATTTAATATGAACAAAGTTCTTTTCCAAAGTCAACATGGTTAATTAAGATATCCAAAAAAAGGTAAATTCAGCCTCTAATATGAACATCCTTCATTTACCGAATCAAACGTTAATCAAGCTGTCCCAAAAAAAATGTGCTTTACATCTGATGTGAACATCATTCTTTTACCAAACTAAATGTTAGTTAAGAAAAAAAATTGTTTTCCGTGTAACTGGTATATCAACAACAGAAGAGATGACACCAAAACACCATGTTAATGAGTTGGTTACCTGTACAACATAACCCACAAGACAACAACAGAAGAGATGACACCAGAACACCATGTTAAATAAGTTGATTACCTGTACAACATAACCCACAAGAGAACCACATAATGTGACACAAGAACACCATGTTAAATAAGTTGGTTACCTGTACAACATAACCCACAAGAGAACCACATAATGTGACACAAGAACACCATGTTAAATGAGCTGGTTACCTGTACAACATAACCCACAAGACATTTGAAGTTATCAGGGGGAGGTAATCCATCCAGAAGTATCGTACCAGTCAAGCCCCTGGGGTCCTTCCTTCCGGCAAGCACATCTAAAAGTCTGTCAATTAAAATTCAACCTTTCAAGCAACATTCATTTCAGTTCTAAATTTATGTATAAAACTTGTTTCAATGTTTGAAGTTGAAGTTTTTGAAAAACTTACGATGACTTGCCACTTCCTGTTGGTCCTAAGATGGCATTCATGCCAGGTTTAAATATCCCACTGAAATATATAATTTTTTTTAAAGATTAGAAACAGTTAACTTTTTTCATTAAGAAAACCATTCAATATGTTAAACTTATTTTTAATAACAGAACTTAACTCTGTAACAAAATGAAGAAATAAGAACTTACCTGACATCCTTCAATATTTGTTTTTTCACACTTTTCCCGCAGGCTGTCAATTTCACATCCACCTCATAGTTTATGCTGTGAAAGCTGAGCACGCTTGAACTTTGACCTTCCTGGCTGGACAGGCGCTCCGCCCGCAGCCTGGCGTTTTCCTGCCTGTCAAACAGCCGGTTGTTGGAGGAGTTGTGTGTGGCGCCATACTCATCCTGCCCATTCTCAACCACGTTTTCAGCTCTCTTCCCTAGCAGACTTTCCTGTGGACAATAAATAGATGCATCAGTAAAATAACAGCAGCTGTCTGTAAAACGCAAACAGAAAAAATGGGCAACCTTTGATTTACTTAATCAATCCTTCAACATTAGTAAGACTCAGAGATTCACTAATAGAAGGAGGGAGGTAATTCAACAAAATTCTAATGGTAAACTTAAAACCTAGAGTGATAGTGACATAGAAAATGTGATTTTAAAACAGAACAATTCAGTTAACCCATACTATTAATTAACTACCAAAAAGAGTTTTTTTCAGCATTCAACACAATGCAACATAATCCAAATATTAAAATACTCTATTCATATTTTCTCTTACTATCAAGTTACATACCAAACATTATCAATATAACAACCAGGTCAAAAGCACTTGACAGCAAACAGCTAAGTTAGCAACCACGACTGTGTGACAGGGCAGAAGACAGGGAAAATGTCAACCAACACAATGACCTACTTTGTGACAGAAAATATCAACCAACACAATGACCTACTCTGTGACAGAGAAAATGTCAACACAATGACCTACTCTGTGACAGGAAATGTCAACACAATGACTTTCTCTATGACAGAGGAAATGTCAACCAACACAATGACCTACTCTGACAGAGAAAATGTAAACACAATGACCTACTCTATGGCACAGATGTCAACCAACACAATGACCTACTCTGTGACAGAAAGTGTCAATCAACACAATGACCTACTCTGACAGAGAAAATGTCAACACAATGACCTACTCTGTAACAGAGCAGCAGACAAAAAGAAAATGTCTTAACTGTCAGAAGTTAAATCAGTATATGGACAAAATAGACACTGTTAGCTCACAGGATGCTTGATGTAACTGATGACTGACACAGCTATTCCATCCTCTTTTCTAGTATCAGAATGATTAACAATTTTATCCAGAGAGAGAGTGTTAGTATCCGACTGAAACATGGCTAGATTTTTAGTTCAATGCTACAATAACATTTTAAGTTTAGGTTGACTCTATTCTTTCTTTTTTTATCAGTACAGATAACGCTGAAGCTGTTTGTTCAAAACTACTTAAACACACACTTATGTCAATAACTTGTTACACAGAAATGTCAAGCTTCAATGTATTCATGGATCTCAGAAAATAAAAATTAAACTGTTTCATAAAAAGATTGTCTGCTCCATTATTGTGATGATTGTTTTATAGGGCATTTAGAGCCAAGCTAATATTTATAACAATTTAATTTGTTTTAAAATATTTTTAGCTGCGAGACCGAGAACGAAAATAGGTCAAGCTGATAACGTCAAGTGTGTATTTGGTTGTAGAAATTTGAACTAAACGTTTCATTCTAACTTTTTCTAGTGTTTGCAATGAGGTGAATGATATGATAAGATAAATACAAGAAACAAGTCCATGCGCACTAAGTAAGGTAATAAAAGTACCTAAATTTATTTACAATCAGCAGCATCTTAATCTGAATCTAAATGCATACAGAACTTTTTTAGCATTATATAATAATAATAGCTTTACAGAATTATTTTAGCTTTATAGAATTTGTCTTATATCTTAGAATAATATTTTAAGCATTAAAAAAATTATTATTTATTTGTTTATATTCACCTTCTAGCCTAATTATCCATTCATGGAAAAAACTGGAATGGATTGAAAGAGTTAACGGAAATGTTCATGCCAAGGTCAAGAAGGGAAAAGTAGAAAATGTAATGACACAACCTCCAAGCAGTACTTCACCAATCAAATATGCTTTATCTGCTTTAAATCTTTGGACACACAGTAACTCTTTTACATGGAGTTAGACATATTGATGATACTTTGTTAATTAAAAGCAAACTTTGGAGATGTCATTTGTAAAATGTAAATGATCTTTAATGAATAAAAGCTAGGACTAGGTCTCCAATTCATAATCTTGTCATTAACAGGTGCATCATAATTCAGTGACTTTTTAAAATGAGAGACTATAATGATTACTGAAAGATGTTCAAGAATGTAAATAGAGCATTAAAAAATGTGTTATATATAGATTTTTGTAAATAAATTGTAAGTATCCTCTATATTTGTTGTTATGTACTACATTTATATAGGCCAATATAGATGTCTATTAACAATACAAAAAAGATTATAAATTAAGTTTATTTTGATTTATTGTTATTTAATGATAATTAAAAATGTAAATACATATAGGCTATATAAAGTTATAAAATATGAACAATTTTAATGAAGCTGCATTGCATATATATTTGACTAGAATCTATCCTGAATATGATCTAGAGACTCAAATTTATAAATAAATAGGGCCTAGTTTTTTACACGTTTATTTAACAATCAATTAAAATCTATTAAAGAACAAAAATACTTCACATTGACTGGTTACCAACAAAAATCTTACCATATCAATTTTTTTTTAATTGTCTTGTTTCTTGAAAGGCTAAATCAACTTGATCTTCCTACAGCTAGTTCACTATTTGCATTGTATTTGTAACTATTTTTCTAACTAGAATAATAATATTAAAAATTGAACAGTTATTAAATCAACTAATTTCCAAACTTTATATGTTAAAAAATGTTTTTTTAAAAACTGCATTAAAGAACTTTTCGTAACCATCAATGATGAACATTTCTCAATAAAAGGCAAATTAAATTTTTTTTAGATTTATAGAAAAGTAACGATCTATCTTTCTTTTAAAAAGATGACTACTTTGGTTTTGAAATATACAACTGAATCGTTAGTATAGCAAATAATGATACCTGAGCCATCAGCCTCTCTAGGCCCTTTAAGATGTATTAAGGGTTGAAGATAATTACTACATCTAATTATACCTGCAATTCAAATAAATTGTGCACACTCATGGGGCTTCAACTAGCTTTGTTAGTGAGCAATTTGAGATATGTCTCTAGCAAAAGCAATTAGGCTGTCATGACCTCTATCAGCAAAAGTTAGTAAAACAATGCAGACTATTAAGAGTGTTAAACTGTTAATTAAATGTCAACAATTTATCTTATCCACCTTTTTGACATGATGTAACAATGAATGTCTTTAGCATGGAAATATGTATTATATATATATATATAAAAGCCATTATAAGCCTACAGATTTAGTTACATTTCTGTTGTAGCTCCCTACAATGTTACAATATAATTGTTCAGCTATGTGGTACATTAACCTTTTGAACCCTAGCCTCCTAGTTTAAAAACTACAAATTAAACTAGACTAAATATAAGATCTAGTTATAGGCCTAATAAATATTAAATAATAAATGATGACTTGTTAAGCTTACAATAATATATGCTAATCATTCTATATTAGGGTTTAGTAGTTCATAACATTAGAATACTATTTAGTTTAAATTAGCATACAATAAAATAATATCTAGATCTATATATACAAAAATAAAAGTATATATGTATCTATTTGTCTTTTATGCATTTATACATCTTTCATCCTATTGCCATGACTCTTTAGGAAGTTGTAGAGAATACTCCTGGGAAGGTGTCTGAGATTAAAAAAATTTGGATGGGTGGTGTCCCAGCAGTAGGGTGCGGTTTTGCGTCCAGAATATCCCAACAGTTAACTTAGCACCTGGGATCCGTTGATTGATCATCCTACATGGAGGGTCAGGGGTACTATTTGATTCAATGGTCAAACTCATCATCATCATTCCTTTGTGGCCCCTGGGGAGCAAAGGGCTGCAACCACACATCTCCATCGGACTCGGTTTTGGGCTGCTCCCTTTATCTGTGCCCATGTGAGCCCAGCTGTTTTCGCCTCTTCTTCAACCGTTCTTCTCCATGTCTTTCTTGGCCGGCCCACCCTCCTTTTTCTCTGGGGATTCCAGTCCAAAGCGTGTTTTGCAATGTTTTCTTAATGTGTCCGATCCATCCCCATTTACGGGCCTTGATATCTGTCTCCATTGGCTGTTGCTTTAAACTTCGTCACAGGTCTTTGTTTGATATTTTGTCTGGCCATCTTATTTTAAGTATATGCCGTAAGCATTTGTTTACGAATTCCTGTAGCTTATCAGTATTTGTCTTCGTAACCCTCCAAGTGTCCAAGCCATAGAGCAGCACTGCCTTGACATTTGAGTTGAAAAGCCCAATTGCACCAGGCTAATTCTCCAGTTGTATACCTTGGTGTACCCCTGGCTCTGTCATGTGCACTCATGAGACCCAGAGACTCCAGGAGCCTATATCTGTTTAAAAGAGCACCCTACCCTACTGACACAATGGGCTACTACATTCAAATAATAAACAGAACAAGAGGTCATATATTCGTTCTGTGGTAGTGTAACTAGTGGCTTCAATGAGCACCCTGCAGCGCCACTGATACCTGGGTGTTCGCCAAGGGTTATTCTACCTTACTTTTAAAGAGGATGATTATCAACATACACTCAAGGCCTTCATACTGCCTGACCAGGGGATTCTAGGCGGTAGTGGGGACAAAACCACATGCCAACAACTAAGATCCAAGAAATAATGTGCTGGCTATGTTACATTTAGATCTAGAAACTCAGTTTTAGAAAAAAGGTAACACATCCAAAATCACACAATTGGTACCATGATGAAACCCTTAAAAATGTTTCATTACTCTGCAGCAACATGTGACTGGTATGCTGGTCCAATATAAATATTAGAACTTAAAGAGTTAATAGTCATTAGTATTAGTGAGTTATAGATCTATTATTACTAGACTCTATCATTAGTACAAAAAATTAAAAATGATTGAATCATGTTGATCTAACTAGTAGACCTATAGAGTAGTATAGAATACTATAGAATAGATCATAGATAGTATTGGAGTATTACTCAGCTATTACTAGCCTATTATTAATTATTAGTCTATTAGCCCTGTTAGGTAGCCAATTACTGTATTACAATAGTCTGGTTTTGCTTTATTTTTAAAACTTCTACTTTAAATTTAATGCCTTTAATTATAATTAATTTGAGGCTTGGCCTGTTAGTTTTTAAGCCAGTTTGTAGGCCTATGTGTTTGTAAGTTTGTTTAGTTTTAGAAAAGGAAAGTTCTAGACTAGATCTAGAAAGTCTAGATCTAGTCTAGATCTAGCTACTTACTACTTAGTAACTTAGTAGCTAGAATCTAGATCTAGAATAGATCTACTAGATCTATATCTAGATCTAGAAATCTAGCCTAGATTAGATTAACATTAAAATTTTACAAAATCTCTCCAGTCCGGCCGTGAAATAATCTGAGTTGTAGAATCTAGATTATAGATCTAGTCTATTTTATAACATCATCATGTTAAGAGCTGCACGTTAGGCCTAGCCAAAGTCTAGCCTGGAATGGTAGAGTAGATCTGATGCTAGACTGGGTCTATCATATAAATAATAAATATGCCACGATAGGCCTACTCTGAATTCTAAATTTATAAAGTCTGGGGAAGCGGCCTAGACTGTTAATATGCCTCTAGTCTACTTATAGGCCTACTATTATTAACTCTAGAGTCTACTAGCCTACTGTATTTATATGTCAAGCCTGCATCTCATGAGTGATGATAAATTTGAAATTATCGGTTATAATTTTTGCTAGATTCTGAAATACCACGAATCAGTGTTTCTTCCAGAGGGGGCACTTGAAATTTTTTTTTTGGGGGGGGGGGGGGGGGGGGGGGGGTAGACTTTCTTCGGGGGGGGGGGGGTAGCGGACACTGTTTAACGTATATATTTTCTATATGAATTTCATTTCGTTTTCATTTTCGTTCGAAGAGATGCCTGGATGAAACTCTGCCACGAATGTTCTTTAGAATGCGTTCGTATCGATATTTATATTATAGATATAGTCTAGATCTAGATATAGGTAGGAAAAGAATATAAACCGGGAGCGCCAAAAAAACTGAAGCAGCGATGGAAATTATCCAATTTAAAAAAAAAACAAAAAAAAACGACGCAATACTTTTTTTTTTTTTAAAAAGGGGTCGTCCATAAATGACGTTACACTCGTAGGGGGAGGGATGGTCCGTAATTTTGTGACGGTGTATGATGAGGGAGAGGGTGGGGGGTCAGATGGTTTATCGTCACATATTTGCATTATAAGTGGGGTCTGGCTTTTTGTGACGATGTGTGGTGGAAGGGGGGGGGCGAATTGGTAAAAGTATGTTTTCTGCTTCGAGGAGGGGGGGTGGGCTGAAAAGAAACTGAAAGAAATTCTGCATAGGGGTCATTCATAAATGACGTCACGCTTTTTTGACGATTTTTATCTCCCCCTTCCCCTCCGTCACACATCGTCACAAAAAGCCAGACCCCCCTAAAATGACGTCACACCTAAGCCTGCACCCCCCCCCCCCTCAAAATTGCAGTTGAATTTTTCTGAAAACATCGATATTTTTTCCAAAATCTTATCTGAACTCGGTCTTTTAATCAATTCCTATTGCAATTTATTAAAACAGTTTTCTAAAACGCGAAATAACGTCTAAAATTCGTTTTCTAACATTGCTTTTTTATAATGCAAAAGTGTCACGTCGCACCATCTGAACCCCACCCTCCCCCTCATCACACACCGTAACAAAATTACGGACCCCCCTCCCCCCTACGAATGTGACGTCATTTATGGACGACCCCCATATAAGTTATATATATAGGTCCTGTATATCTATAAGCTTACCCGTTCTGAAGCCATCTCGTGACTACTGTTGTCTTCTTTTTATGATAACTTTATATTTCAAGCTGCCTGGGTTTACTATATCCAATAAAGAAATAATTGAACACACATAGATCTAGATCTAGTAAGTAAGGGCACATAGCAACAGAGTGTTCCAGTTGTTATCGTAGAAATATTTCACAAAACAAAACAGTTCGATTAGTAATCAAAACCAAAGACTTGGTCATCTGCCAACAACAGATACTTTTAATCTGACAAACGTAGATGTATTTTCGTATGTACCTTAATCCGGACAATCAGTCGCATCTGATTCTAAAGGGCACAAACTACGATGGGGTAAATAAAAGGGACGTGAGTTCGCTTTTGTTGATGTGTTCAGAGTTAACAGGCCTATACAGACATTCTCCATGGCGTTGACAGGGAAAACGTTATTTAAAAGTAGGCCTAATGGGTTTCATTAATTTAAACAGAAAACGAACAGCAACAACGACGACATTATAGATTTAATTAGTTTTTAATATTATTGATTGTAGCTGCGAACTGAAATAAAAGTTCAGTGGCTTTTTATCAAAGTGATTATGGTAGTGACGTAAACAACCCTTGAACTTGAACCCGGCCTATTTTCCCATACTGCCAAGCGTTTTAAAATCAGACATGTCACGTTAGGCCTCGGTATTGCGTGCAAAGTGCAGTGGTCCTTAGGCCACAGATCCTGTGGCTTCACTATGTCGGGTATCACCCTATGCGATAACTGTGGATTTCAACCAATCTCGCTCCAACAATTCAGCTTTTTCGGTTAATGTTAACTCGTCCCCATACTGTTTTCATTAATTTAACTAGATAAAACATAGTTATGTAAGTAAGTTAGTAAATTATATTTTTTTTTAAATTTGGTGTCACCTCCAAAATTGTGTCACCCAGTACGGACCGCCGCCCCCCCCCCCACCCCCACCCACGTGATGCTACTGAAGAGGCCCAAATCCAGTGAGTCTTCCATACATTTTTTCAGGGGTGGGGGGGGGTTACATTTTCGAGGACGTTGAAAATAGAAAAAAGACTACAATAGGTCACCCGAACAACCTGTCAGGCTACCCCATATACGCCTACAGTTACTCCCACTAATAGATCCACCTTCTTCAAACGACGTAGGCCTACATCGTCACAAATATGTGGAAAAGAGAGCCTACATGTTTAAATAGATAATGCATTGATTTGAAGGTTATAAAGTAGGCCTTTTAGATCTTATCTTAGGGTCATCCATAAACGAGGCCACGCTTTTTAAAACGATTTTTAGCTCACACCCTCCCCATCTGCACAAAAATCCCGATTCTCTAAAATTACGTCACTCGTAAGTCCACCCCCCCCCCCCCCCCGGGCATTTTAAAAAACAATGATTTATTTCTAAAACATTTACTGAAATCGGTCAGCATAGGTATATTGCTCCATTTTTAAAGCTTTTTATCAAAAGAAAAATCTTTTAAAAAACGCAATGTAGCGTCTAAAATGAAATTTTCTAACTTAACCCTTAACAAAGTGCATAAATAGGTGCAATTTTCTGACCCCCCCCCCCCGACCCGTCACAAAAGTTCGACCTCCCATCCTCCTTATGAGTTTGATATCATTTATGGAGTATGGACGACTCCTTATGTGATAATTTGCATTGGGGTCGTCCATAAATGACGTCACACTCATAGGGGGGGGGGGGGGGGTCCGTAGCTTTGTGACGGTGTGTGATGAGGTCGAGGCGGAAGGGGGGGGGGGGGTTCAGATGGTGTTACGTCACACTTGTTGCATTATAAAAAAAAAGCAACGTTAGCCATTATTTTGCGTTTTAGAAAACGGTTTTAATAAATTGTAATAAGCATTGATTAAAATACTCTGTTGACAGAGTTCAGACAAGATTTTGGGAAAATATTGATGTTTTAAGAAAAATTCAACTGCATTTTTAAGGGGGGGGGGGGGGGGGTTGTAGGCAGAGGTGTGACGTCATTTAGGGAGGGGGGTTCTGGCTTTTTGTGACTATGAAGGAGGGGAGGTTAGGTTAGGTTTGCCTCTCGTCCATCCTGGGACATAGGCCGGGGGAGGTAAAAATCGTCAAAAAAGGCGCTAAAAAATGGATGATCCCATTGTTAATGTTATGCTATTTTTAGCGCAATTTGCATTCTGGAGAATTGCGTTTATTAACCCGTCGTTTCTGGATGTATGAATGTATGGATGTGTGTTCGCAGCTTTAAGTCGTATCTCCTCCTCAACGAAGCAATATCGAGGACTAGTTCCAAAAGCAATTATGTTAAGCAAGTTACGAGGATGATAGTGGGCCAAAAAAATTCCGGAATTCCTTCCTGGATTTCACGGAAAAGCCAAAAAACCTCGAAAAAATGCAGTTTTTGGCCCATATCTCGGCAACCAGACAACTTAGCGACTTGAAACATCTACCAATCGATTCCTGCCATAATTTAGAACAATATTGCCGAAGAAAGTTTTCAAAAATATTCTTTCTTCGGTCACAAAAAATTTTTAAACTTACATTATACATAATACACTACATTACTATATAGCAATTTGGACCGAATTAGTAGGCATGTTTATCCAACCACACCACACGCGTCATCACGTTCAATAGCTGCGCCATCACGTTCAATGGCTGCGCCATCACGTTCAGTAGGCGCGCAATGGTTTTTAGTCATATAACTCTATTGTTTTTAAAAAATGTGAAAAAAATGATTAGGCCTAGCGAAACAAAACCTTGTAACCTATCACTCTCATATAAATTATAAATAAATTAATAGGGTACAAAAATAAGGAAATTGCGCTTAAATTGTCACTAGACTTTTTAATTAACTTGTTTTTTTTTTTTTTTACTAAACTAAAAGCTCCCAGATACAGTAGTATCAGCATGATGGCAGTCCAAGCAGAAGGAGTTAGATCTAGATTTACTTCTTTAGCCGACATAATTATAACAGCTGGTGTTTAAGCAGAGGCGTAGCGAGGGGGGGGGGGGGCGGGGGGTGCGGATCGCACCGGGTGACACCATATAGTGAGCAGAGTTTCTTCCAGGCCCCCCCCCCCCCCGAACGAAATGAAATTTATTTAGAAAATATATACTTTTAACAGTGTCCGCCCCCCCGAAGAAAGTTTACCGCCCCCCCCCCCCCCCCCCCCCCCGAAAATTTCAAGTGCCCCCCCCCCCCCCCCCGGAGAAAAAAGTCTGGAAGAAACACTGATAGGGGGGTGACACCAAGGCAAAAAAAAAAGCAGAATATATAGAGAAAAATGATAATTCCACTTAATTAAGTGATTGATTCGAGTGTTAAATAGTGTTTTAAGAGGTGCAAATCGAAAGTTTGAGGGGGGGGGGGGTGCATTGAAAATTGAAAGTTTGTCCCCGGGAAGGGTCGCTACGCCTCTGGGGGGTGACACCATTAAGTGCCGCACCGGGTGATACCCGACCTCGCTACGCCACTGGTTTAAGGACACCGATTTACCACTGATTTACAATGCTTCATACAGCAACGGTTTCGTAAATCTAAATAGCAACAACAAAAAATACGACCGAGCTACCATTTTAAATTCTAGACTAGATTTCCATTTCAGTAAATCAATGTAATGTAGCCTATTTCTAAAATTGTGTCCCCTAGTCCTACCGGTAGCAAAAGCGGAAACACGCCCATTGTGATGGCGGAAAAATATAAATAAAAGTAAATAAAAAGGCATAAAGTAGGGTAAATAAAAAAAGCTGTGCATTTAAGCTGGTTTCTACTAGGCTAATTAATTTTAATAATTTAATAACTTAGAATCTAGATCTAGATTCTAGATAGAAATCTATGATCTAGCTAAGTTTAGTGCTAGACTAGTGACTAGATCTAGAATTAGATCGATCTTACTAACTTTGTTACGCACTTTGTAACTTGACTGACTACCTACAGTCTACAGACTACACACACGGAGTACACTAGTACACACTGACGAGATTATTTAAAAGTTTAATTTTAAATCTAGATCTAGAGTCTATAACTTACTCACTAGATCTTGAACTCAAATATTATATAATACTCGGGCCATATTTTCAAATTTTGAGTAGACCCTTTGTTTGTAAGTTTGTTTGTATCCTACTTACTTATTAGCAGAACGACCTCTGTCCAGGCCTCAACCAATCAGTGGGCTTGTTGCATTGAGTTAACTGTTAAATATAAACTCAAAACAATGTTAAACAATGCAATGATATAAACAAAAAATTCATTTATATCGGCAAGGCCACATACTGCATACCACTGCTAGTAGCAATGGCTAACCCGAAATCCACAAATCAAGTTTAAATAATAAATTTAGAATAGTTTCATGTCCATTATTGTCCATAGAACATCCCTGAGTCCACTTGGGTGTCTGATGCACATTAGCCATAGTGCCCATAGTTAGTTAGGCAAAGTAAAGGCAGCTAGGCATAGTGCTGACCACATTATCCATTCATTAGCCTAGGTGACAGAAATAGGTGAAGTCTCGAGTTCGAATCCAGTTTCAAACCAGTAGACCATCCCTGTGTCCACCCAGCTCTGATGGGTACCTAACTCACGTTAGGGAGTGTAAAGGCGGCTGGGCATAGTGCTGACCACACTATCCCTTTATATGTCAAGGTCACAGAAACAGGTGAACTCTGCTTCACTTGCCCCATAGACCGTCAGGTTTAGAAGGGAAACTTTACTCTTATAGTCATTTACTTACAATAGTCCAATTTTTATTTAATTGATTACTGGCATTCTTTATATTAATCTACAGACGTGCATATTGAAAAGAAATAAGAAGAAACATGGCAAAGTAAAAAAAAAATGAGATTGGAGTCTGCAAGTTTATGATCATTCAACATGAGACGATCTGCCGCACCTAGCCAAACAGCTGCTGGAAATCCACTGAAACGCACCAAATTCTCTGCCCCTCTTTTACCAGCATTGAAAAGTGACCATGGCAGTATTATTCCCAGTTCACAAAATATTCAGAACTTAAACATGTTAGACACACATTCAAAAACTTGTGATGTTCAGTATATCAGCCCAACCAAACACAATGAAACTTTTGTGCCACCAACAGGAAACAGTTTAGGGTATAGAAGCATTGACATAATCTCAAACAGTGTAACAACATCCATTCACAAAAACACTTCTACAAACTGGCAACCAAAAGTTTCTAATAGTTTAAAAGATGGAAATGTTGACAGGTATGAACAAATCATAACTTATTGTTCTATTTAAACTCTACACATTTATTAATGCTTTTAAAAAAAAAATATTAGTAAAGTTAATGCAGCTAGTTTTAACACTGAATAAATTGATTAGATTTTTATGTTGATTATCTTTTTCTTTGTAAAACTTAAAAAATTAAAGTAATAATTTTAATGTTTAAATTTTTTTTTCTCTTTAGACATGAACAGCAACCTTTCTCCACGATAAGACCAGTTGCAACCCACCACACTATCCACTCAAACCTCAAAGAAAATGTATTGATTTTTCTTCTTATACATATCATTAGTTCTGTTAAAATCTGTGTTTATGCTTTACCATAGGATTTGTTCAATTTCTGTTCTGTTTTTTTTTTAAAGATGTTTTTTAATGCAATAAAGCTAAGAGATGAGTTGGAATGTATAGGAATGATATGGCTAATGTTTTATGTAAAGGGACAAGTTGGCTAACTGTGCTACGTAAAGGAATGAGCTGACTGGCTGTGCTATGTAAAAATTAAAATTCCCTTCTACACCTGATAGTTGATGGGGCAGATCTGTTTCAATGGCATCAAATGAATGAATAGTGTGGTCAGCACTATGCAAAGACATCTTTACTTTCCCCAACTTGAGTCAGGTACTCATCAGAGCTGAGTTGCATTGTCCAGCTCTGGTATATTAGTGAGAAAATGCTTTTTTTGTTAACTTTAAGCCATGTCCCAGGTGGCAATGTTATGTTCACATTTCTTTTACCACTCTTTCACCCTAGATGAAACTGACCCCAGCCAAACACAAAACTACAGACCAGTCAGCTGCAGTGAGTCAGCTAGCTACAACAGGAGCCAGCTATTTTAGTGTTGTTTGGTGCAAACTCTCAAAGAAGAAACACAAAACATGGGAAGGTGACGGTAAGTGTCGTCACATGCTCAGCAAGGCAGTCTCTATTGGGTCTGTATGTCACATAATCAGTCAGTCTGTATTGGGTCTGTTTGTCATATAATCAGTCAGTCTGTGTTGGTTTTATATGTCACATAATCAGTCTGTGTTGGGTCTGTTAGTCACATACTAATTTAAATCATTCTGTATTGGGACTGTAACATAATTAGTTGATGAGTCTGTATGTTAATTAAATATGCAACATAAACTTTGAACTTTTGCAGCTATATTGGTGACTTCTGGGAAGTCCGTGACACTGTATGATACCGAGGGAAAAGTGTAAGTATCATTTTCTACAGAGATTTACTGATTTACAAGTTTCAAGTCATGCCCTAAGATTTACATACAACTTTTTTTTCCATTGACAAACACAGCCAAATTTCTAAAGTATTTAAACTTTTTCAAGACTTTGCTGGTCCAATTCCAAGGTGTACTTTAAACTTGGTTGATTCAACCTGTATGTCTCTGTTACACCTGTGTGTTCAGTACTGTAAAGTTAAGTTGGCTGGCCTGGGCAGTCATAGTTACCCTTTCAAACATTGTGCAGATGAAGTAGAGTTTATCAATTTCATTGACCTTGACATAGGAAGGCATAGTGTAGTCAACATTATGCCCAGCCATCTTTACTTTCCCATGTGAGCCAGATACTTACCAGAGTTATGTGAACTCATGATGTCCTAAGAACTCTAGACTTTCAAGTTAGCAATCAAATGCTCTACGATTAGTTCATGCTGTCCTTTTAATATTTGGAATTATGCGATTGTCTTACAATAATAGAAAAGCTACATTTTGTTGCCTATCAATGTGCAGGATAGCCAAAGGCAGTGGGTATAAGGCTGCTGTTCTAGATGCTTTGGAACCTGATGGAACTCTTGTTGTGGGAGGTAAAGAAGTGCAGGTGAGTCATTGTGAGGCTGCACTGTTTATGTTATAGACAACTGAACCTGTAAGATTTTTATAAAGTTGGGTTTGTTCATTCATTATTTTTTACACTTTGAGATTTCTATAAAGCTGGGTTTGTTCATTCATTATTTTTTAACCCCTGAATATGTTTTATTTAAAAAAAACTTCTAACCGCTGTCTCATTTCTATGTTGTCAGATTCTGTCAGTTTTGGCAGAAGACAAGTTTAAATCTGGCCAGTGTTTTTTGTCCACACAAGCTGAACAAACATGCGATGTTAGCACCAAGTCAACCAAGCTAGGTAAAACATGTTTGGCCTTCTTTTATCTAAAGGCAAATAAATATTTTGGTTGAATCAAGTCAATGATGAAGATTAATATTGCAGAATAATAAAAAAAAATGTATTTAGGCCTAAATTAAAGCACCAAAGAGATAAGAATTTGTAACTAACAGTATTGGGGAGGTAGGTGGTACATATGTCACTAGGCGCCAACCATAGGGGGCGCCAAAATGGGTTTTAAAAAATTAAAAACTCATGTTAGCTGCAGTTTTGCATTATAAATATAAAAAATATAGGGGGGGGGGGGCTGAAGTGATAATATAAAAGTATAGTAAAATTCCCCTTTCACAACATTATGTATAGGCAAACCTTAAGAGTTAACACAATCAAGTACAGCATAAAGTATATTATTTTTTTCTGCAAAACCTGCTGCCTGGATCAACAATAACTTGCAGTAGATCACACCTTGATGTAGACACCTGTTGTAAATGTTATGTGATTTTTTAAATTTTTTTTACAGGTGCTTCAAAACCTTTCATCAGCCCTTTGATGCATTCCAACAACAGCAGCCTCAAAGTGAGTTTGTAGGTCAACATATTGTTGGTGTGTCATTGCCATGGAAACTACTTGATGAGAGGAGTATTGAGATAAATGTAACATTAGCACAGTCACAAAGTAATATTTAAAAAATGTATTTAAAAAACTGAGCTTGAACGTAATTTAAAACAAACCCAACTTTAAAATAAAATGTGATTAGGGATGCTGGGAATCTACAATACATGTACAGGTCTATTTCCAGTCATATTGAATTAACCAACTCTTAACACTAAATGATTCATTTTCAAAAGTAAATATTTTTGTTTTTAGTTATGGTTATAATACTGCAAATGATAAACAGTTATCAAGAATATCTTCTTATTCTCATGGCTTGTAAATTGTATGACATCTCAAATGTGGTTTTGATTGGAAAAATTGATTTATCCCTCTATCTGTCTATTTTTCTGTAATTTACTCTTCTATAGTGTATCCTTCTGTAATGGCACCTTGTATAAATATTGACTGATCTTACAGGCCCAAGCTGAGTCTGTTGAAACACTGAAGGTGTGCCCTAGACATGAGCCCACCACACCTGGAGCACTGGTCATGCCACGCCCCAGCCCTGAACACCAGGTATATGGTCACAGCTCTTAGCTTTTAAACTATGATGACTTCACTGATCAACGTGATTATAAATATACACATAGTAATTTTTATTAGAATTTTTTATTTGTAACTAATTTCTACTGATAGATATTTAAATTGAGCTATGCCAACTATATTGTACTGTTTTGCTAGCTTATAAGTAAGTAAAGTTCCCTTTCAAACCTGACGGTCTATGAGGCAATTGAAGTAGAGTTCACTGGTTTCTGTGATATGAAGGGATAGTGTGGTCAGCACTTTGCCCAGCCACTTTTACTTACCCTAACATGAGTTAGGTATCCATCAGAGTTGGGTGGACTCAGGGACGGTCTACTGACTTGAACCCGGATTCTCTACCGCTAGACTACTCTGTCCCATTTTGCTAGCTTATAGAATAAATATATATATTTATAGTTATTCCATCTAGTAGGTTGGAGTTATGGTACTTGAATGTCTATTGTATTAAATACTGTGTTTAAAAGAAAACTTCCTGTTTGCCAGTGGAAACACAATAAACAAGGCCTGCCTATAGTGGACGTTGTAGTTGACCCTTACCTCTCATCCTATCTCAGACAACATCAAAGGGAAGGAGTTCTCTTTTTGTACGAATGCATTATGGGAATGAGGAATTATGAAGGGCTTGGAGCAATTCTTGCGTAAGATCATTGTATATCAAGTTCAGCATGGCTGTACAAAGTATAAAAATTTAAGATTTTCTTAGTTGTGTTTTATTGAGATTTTTTTATGGAGACCATTTCTAGAAAGTTTTTCATCAGTGAATGAATGTTATATCAATTTCTTTTTTTTAAATTATAAATTCTTTCCTCAGAGATGACATGGGACTTGGTAAAACACTTCAATGTATAGCTCTCATTTGGTAAAGTCACATTTTAATATCATTTTAGAACAAGCTTTGTTGATCATATCACAATACACTGCAGCTAACCAGAGTGTAGTTTAATTCATGGTTGAGTAAAAATGGACATAATTTGTTGATTCAAGACTAGACATTTGTGTGAACTGGTTGGCTACACTTTATTGTAAAACTTAAATGATTTTGATTCAATGGTTTAGAAAAAAGACTTGAGCGCTGTGACTGTTAACTGTATAGATGTATTTGGTGACTGTTAACTGTATAGATGTATTTGGTGTTTTTCAACAGGACACTGTTAAAGCAAGGTCCATACGGAGGGAAACCTGTGCTGAAGAAAGTTTTGATAGTCACACCTGGAAGTTTGGTCAAAGTAAGCTGTGTGGTTTTAGGTGGTTAAAGTAAGCTGTGGTTGTAGGTGGTTAAAGTAAGCTGTGGTTGTAGGTGGTTAAAGTAAGCTGTGTGGTTGTAGGTGGTTGAAGTAAGCTGTGGTTTTAGTTGGTTAAAGTAAGCTGTGGTTGTAGGTGGTTGAAATAAGCTGTGTGTTTGAAGTAAGCTGTGGTTGTAAGTGAAGTAAGCTGTGTGGTTGAAGTAATTAAAAAGAGGTTAAATTAACAGCCAGTGTTTATGATCATTAAACTGATTACTTTTCAGAACTGGTACGAGGAGTTTAAGAAATGGCTGGGCACAGAGAGGCTGAATGTCTATGCTGTCAGTACTGATCACAGGGCTGATGTAAGTCTCTCCATGCAGAAAGTAAAAGTACTCTACAATATTTAAACCGGACTGTGTGTTTGGGTGGTAGAGCACACAACTGCTAACTCTAAAGGCCACTAAAGGGGCTGGACATCCCCTTTCCAATGACCCCTGGACATTCCCCCCTATCCCCTAGTATATTACCCACCCCACCACCAAAAAACTGAAGTATTACATTCCCCCTTCCCAAGTTGATTGCAAATTAACCCTAATCCTAACTAACCTTATGGATATAGTTTGTGTTAAAGCTGAGATTAGGGATAGGCAAAGGAAGTTTACACCAGGGAACACACTTTGCTGGATAACCTGTTTGGTACTATATAGAATACCTAGGCAAAGGATGAAATAGCATTTATTTTGTACTATCTGTCCACTTCAAGTGGGGGTGGAAGGGTAATTGACATGAATGAATGTCCAAGACCCAGGACAGATGTAATAATCCCTCTGTATCCAGTACAATACTCAGCTGTCTGCATTTTTACTTTCTTACATCAAGTACCCTGAGTCCACCCAGCTATAATGGGTACCTTACTCAGGGAAAGTAAATGTAGCTGGACACAGTGCTGACCAGACAATCCCTGTGACAATCCATGTGACAATCTGTCACAGAAACAGGTGAACTCTACTTCACTTACCCCATGGACCATCAAGTTCAAAAGTGGGACTACACAATGTGAGCTGGGTGGGTTGAAGTGTCATAAGGTCTCAATCCTGGGAACTGAATTAGAGTCTGTCAGATTAGTTATCAATGCTCTAACACTCCACCACACTGTCCCATATAGAACTGGCTAGACTGAGTTATCTCCTAGATTTATCATACCAGACATTCTAGTGAAATGAATTGACTAGACTTAACATTGCTGATACAGTGTGTTTTGTCTGAAGGATTTTGTCAAGTCCAGAATTCACCCTGTGCTGGTCATCTCGTATGAGATGCTGGTCAGGTCCTACCAGCTGATTGAAGAGCTGGCGTTTGACTTGGTCATTTGTGATGAGGGACACAGGCTAAAGAACACAGCCACCAGAACTACAGCAGTAAGTCACTGCAGTGTGGCTCTGTCTTGTGCACTGTGTGTCTGTTTAGTGCACTGTGTCTGTCTACTACACTGTGTGTCTGTTGGTCTGTGTACTGCACTGTGTGTCTGTTGGTCTGTCTTGTGGTTTGTTTTCTGTGAGTTATGGCCCTTCTCTGTCAAGTGAAAGAATGTTTTATATTTTACATTCCTGTACTTGTTTTTGTGTTTTCAGTAAATGGATTATGTAATTTGTGTTATGGTTTTGTTTTTTTTACCCAAACAGCTGATGATGAATCTATATCTGTACATGTTTTTGTTTACCCAACCAGCTGTAAATGTTTCTGTTTACCCCACCAGCTGATGATGAACCTAGCATGCCAAAGAAGAGTTGTATTGACAGGAACACCAGTACAGAATGACCTACAAGAGTTCTACACACTGGTCAACTTCTGTAACCCGGGTGTGTTGGGTCAGTAACTTTTTCAATACACTCTACATGAGCACCTCATTTTGATTCCTTGAAAAAAATAATAATGTAACTTTATATTATAATATTCCAAAGGCCTAAAAGCTTTTTCATCCCCCTATGGAAAAAACTTTTTAAAAATGTTGTATTCTTGCCGCTTTGAGAATTGTTTTCACAAAAAAGTAATTACTCTACCATTCACAATGTCACACTGACATGTTAACTATCATGGAGTTAACATTTTTGACTGGATTATACTGACTTACTAAAGGCAAGGTTTAAAGAGCTCACATCAACTGGCAGTACCAGTAGGGTGAGGTTTCATATTCTAGAAACAAGTGGTGAAATATTAGAGGCCTAATTGGTCCTGTATTTTTGCAGCCTTTGGGAAACTCAATGGGTTCTGTTCATCATTTTACAACATCACTGTTCAGTCTTTTCTAACCTTTGGCTTAGTAATAATAAAACAGAGAGTGTTAGTTACCTCACAAGTTAAAGACAGTCTTTAACTTGTGAGGTAACTAACACTCTCTGTTTTATTACTACTTGCATTAACCTCACTGCAGCTACCATTTGTTTTTAACCTTTGGCTTATGAGGTTGACAAGACAAATTACCTCTAGACAAAAAATTATTTTTCTAACTCTCATTTGTAGCTAATTATCATTTAAAAGAACAATGTATGTAGCTGTTTAATTGTTTTGGAGTGAAGAAACTTAACTTTCCGTGCGCTCTAATAGTTTTTGTGACTGTGTTCACCCAGGCACCAGTGCATCCTTTAGCCGCGTGTATGAGGACACAATCCTAGCGTCCCGCCAGCCCAACGCCACACCAGAACAAGAGGAGCTTGGTGCTGAGAGGTCGCAGGAACTGGCCAGGCTCACACAAATGTTCCTGCTGAGGAGAACACAGGAGATGAATCAGGACTTTTTACCCCCTAAAGGTAAATGTTTTTCCTGAGAACCCAGGAGATGAATCAGGACTTTTTACCCCCTAAAGGTAAATGTTTTTCCTGAGAAACCAGGAGATGAATCAGGACTTTTTACCCCCTAAAGGTAAATGTTTTTCCTGAGAACCCAGGAGATGAATCAGGACTTTTTACCCCCTAAAGGTAAATGTTTTTCCTGAGAAACCAGGAGATGAATCAGGACTTTTTACCCCCTAAAGGTAAATGTTTTTCCTGAGAACCCAGGAGATGAATCAGGACTTTTTACCCCCTAAAGGTAAATGTTTTTCCTTAGAACCCAGGAGATGAATCAGGACTTTTTACCCCCTAAAGGTAAATGTTTTTCCTGAGAACCCAGGAGATGAATCAGGACTTTTTACCCCCTAAAGGTAAATGTTTTTCCTGCTGAGAACCCAGGAAATGAATCAGGACTTTTTACCCCCTAAAGGTAAATGTTTTTCCTCCTGAGAACCCAGGAGATGAATCAGGACTTTTTACCCCCTAAAGGTAAATGTTTTTCCTGCTGAGAACCCAGGAGATGAATCAGGACTTTTTACCCCCTAAAGGTAAATGTTTTTCCTGCTGAGAACCCAGGAAATGAATCAGGACTTTCTACCCCCTAAAGGTAAATGTTTTTCCTGATGAGAACCCAGGAAATGAATCAGGACTTTTTACCCCCTAAAGGTAAATGTTTTTCCTGCTGAGAACCCAGGAAATGAATCAGGACTTTTTACCCCTTTTAAGGTAAGCTGGTGCTATGAATATCATCTGTTTGTTGAACATCATGAGGTGGCATGTGGAAATATTAGATGCAAGACAAAATACTGCTAGTGTTTGAACTGTAAGCCCTTGATCAACACTGCACTCTACCCACATGACCACGTCTGACTAAAATTAAACTAATTATAATATTCATTATAAAATGTATACATTATATAAAATTCATTTAATTATAATCAGTATAAAATGTATACAAAATACTAAAATTCATCTAACTATAATTATCAGTATAAAATGTATACATAATAGTGAAATTCAAAAAATTATAATTACCATTAAAAAAATTAATATGATAACCCTGAAATTAAATATAACAACCCTTTTAAAAAACTTAAGATAACAATTTAGCTTTTATGAAGCATGAGATACTTATCAACCGTATGGATGTAAAAAAACTTTAAATCAGTATTTGAGGTAGATCAACTCTGTTTGGACTGACTTCAGCCCATCTTTTTGGTGTAATATCAGGCCTGTTTTAAAGTGTCCTCCTCCTCCTAAATTTCAGTGGAACTAGTTCTCTTCTGCCGACCTTCACCCCTTCAGCTGTTGCTGTACAAACACCTGATCCAGTCCAAAGTGGTCAGCCAGTTGATGTCCAGCAGGCAAGTGGCCGGCTCACCACACCTGGTCTGTATTGGCGCCCTCAAGCAGTTGTGTAACCACCCAGCTCTCATATTCAACAAGATCAGCCAGCCATCAGACCAGCAGGTCAGTACTACAAAAATTTTATGTGTACATGTCAGTGGCGTAGCCAGGATCGTCTCAAGGGGGGGGGGGGGGGTCCAATTTATACCCAGGGACAAACTTTTGATTTGCACCCCCACCCTCAAACTTTCGATTTGCGCCCCCCCCCCCCCCCTCAAACTTTCGATTTGCACCCCCCCCCCTCATACTTTATATATATACCGAGGGGTCTATGGGGGATTATGACCCCCCCCCCCTGCCTACGCCACTGGTACATGTAATGTGTGTACAACAAGATGTGTCAGTACTACAAAGATATTCTATCTATTCATATGTTATAGCTCTAATAAGGCTCAAACATTGTTAAATATCACAATGAGGTTTCCAGCACATTTTAAACCAACACAATAGCACAGCTGTCAATCCAATCTGATTGCCTCAAACTCTGGTGAACACACAAAGGGTGGGCCAAGGCACTCTATTATACCTGGATATATTTAACAGCCTTCATTGGTCAGCCATCACACTGTACTGTATACATATAACAGCCTTCGTGGGTGGGCCATACTGCATACATCTAACAGCTTTTGCTGTTTTTGACAGAACTCCCTCTATGATGGTGTCTCCGCCTACTTGCCTGAAAATTTTGAAGTGAGTGTTGAGGATTCTGGGAAACTTCATGTCCTGTCTGCCCTACTCTCTAGTATCTGGCACGACACAGCACAAGAGAAGGTGGTGCTGGCCTCTAGTCACACTAAGGTAAGGTGCTAGTCACACTAAGGTAAGGTGCTAGTCACACTAAGGTAAGGTGCTAGTCACACTAAGGTAAGGTGCTAGTCACACTAAGGTAAGGTGCTAGTCACACTAAGGTAAGGTGATAGTCATACAAAGGTAAGGTGTTAGTCACACTAAGGTAAGGTGTTAGTCACACTAAGGTAAGGTGCTAGTCACACATAGGTAAGGTGCTAGTCATACTAAGGTAAGGTGCTAGTCACACAAAGGTAAGGTGCTAGTCACACTAAGGTAAGGTGCTAGTCACACTAAGGTAAGGTGCTAGTCACACTAAGGTAAGGTGCTAGTCACACTAAGGTAAGGTGCTAGTCTTTAGTCACACTAAGGTGCTAGGCTTTAGTCACACTAAGGTGCTAGTCTTTGACACACTAAGGTAAGGTTCTAGTCACACTAAGGTAAGGTGCTAGTCACACTAAGGTAAGGTGCTAGTTACACTAAGGTAAGGTGCTAGTTACACTAAGGTAAGGTGCTAGTCTTTAGTCACACAAGGTCAGGTGCTAGTCTTTAGTCACTTTAAGGTGCTAGTCTTTAGTCGCACTAAGGCAAGATGCTAGTCTTTAGTCACACAAGCCAAGGTGCTAATCTTAAGACACAAGGTAAGGTGCTAGTCTTTAGTCTGAAGCCTTACAAATGTGTAGTTGTTATGTAGCAACATGGCTTAATAAGCCTGGTTTAAATTATATGCTACTTATTGATTTACTTGATATTTTTAAATGAGATGATTGTCCAGACTCTACTGCTAGAAAAATGTATCTTTATAATTGTTGCCATAGCTGCTGTTGTCATCCCACTGTGTCTCTTGTTTTATCTAGACCCTGGATCTGCTTCAAGAGTTCTTCAGGACGTCTGGCTACAGTTTTGTCCGTCTAGACGGCCAGACACCAACCAACCAGAGGCAGGATTTGGTCAACAAGTTCAACAACCAGTACTCTAACCACAGTCAGTTGTTTTTTCTTTATAGCTATGCTTTCTCTTTATGCTACCACATCTGTTTCTCTTTATTCTACCTCATCCATTTCTTTTCAGTCTTCATCTTTATACCTTTTCTCTTCTCATTATATCTTCTCTCCTCTTCTCTCTTTTGAACCTGATGGTACATGGGGCAAGTGAAGTAGAGTTCCACTGTTTCTTTGACCTTTGAATATGACGCGTTAGTCTGGTCAGCACAATGACCAGCCACCTTTACTTTCCCTATCCCGAGTTAGGTATCCATCAGAGCTGGGTTGGCTCAAGGATATCTACAGACTTAAACCTGGAATCAAACTCCTTACTCGAGACTTTTGAACAATTCTCAGAACAATTCTACCTTATTCTTTAGTGTGTGTGTTTATTGTCACATTGTGTTTAGTATTGAAATGTGTCTGAAAATGTCTGAAACATTGCAGGAATTTTCCTTCTGAGTACCAAGGCTGGGGGGGTAGGGCTCAACCTGATTGGTGCCTCCAGGCTTATACTCTACGATATTGACTGGAATCCTGCTAATGACCTACAGGTGAGTCTATAGGCCTGTTAACAGAAGTATCTATAGTTAAGAGACCCTACTCATTTGTTTAAAATGTATTATTAGCTAAAAATAATTTGTAAGTCCCTTGTAAAAATAAATAAATCTGAAACCTACATTGTCATTTACTTCAATAACTCCTATCACATATAATAAGTCCTATCAGATATATTTCCCATCACATGTAATAAAAGTATACATTTTTTCACTGGCTAGGCCATGGCGCGTGTTTGGAGAGATGGCCAGAAGAGGAGGGTACACATCTATAGGCTGTTGACTACAGTAAGCTTTTACTTACATTCAACACAATATCTAACCACTTTAACAACTTTTTCATTTCAGATCATTTCTCTAGTTTTAACTTGACTCTCAGCAAAAGTCATAACATGGTGAGGGGTGGAAGCAGGCGTTGTAACTGAAATAGCAATGTAAACAGAAAGTGATATTCCAACGCCAAGGGTAGACAAAGGTACCTTTGTCTACCCTTGCCGTTGGAATATCACTTTCTGTTTACATTGATATTTCAGCAAAAGTCATAGGAAGTTCTTATATAATCATCCAATCCCTTTCATTCCCAAGATACATGGGGCAGATGAAATAATTTCATCTGTTACAATGACCACAGCATTACAAGGGTATGGTGTGGTCAGTACTATTTCCAGCCACCTTAGTTTCTCTGATGTGAGTCAGGTACTTATTAGAGCTGGGTGAAATCAGGGGCATCCTACAGACTGGAGCCCGGGATCAAACTTGAGACTTTTGGTTTGGCATTCATGAGCTCTACTATCAGACCACAAAGTCCACACTTATTAAATACCATGTCAATATTCAAATATGATATTTTTATTGTTATACAATATGGAGATTTTCAAAAATGGTCTGCAAATTTACCTTGTTGTTCTTGAACAAAAAACATTTGTGTGTTACCAGGGGACAATAGAAGAAAAAATTTACCAGCGTCAGATAACAAAACAGGGACTCAGTGGGGCTGTCATGGACAATGAAAAGATGACCAGTGTCCAGTTCTCCCCAGAGGATCTCAAGGTAATGTTTTAAGTCCACCCTCCCCCAGTGTTATCAGACAACAATGTATTTTAGGTTGACCACCATTTATGGATTCTAAACATTTCTTACATTAAGAACTGATATTTATGTGATTTTATTTTCTGGTAATTTTCTTAATCGAGTAAAGCTGTGAGAAACTGAGGCAAAACATTTTTTATGTTTTTACAGGACCTATTTTCATTGGACGAGACCACTGAGTGCTACACCCACTCAAAGCTTGGATGTTTGTGTCATGGTGACCCCACACACGTTAAGGAAATCCAGCTGGAAAAATCTGCTGAAGAAAGGCAATGTCAACTAGGCCAAACTAACAAACAGGTGTGTTTACATTTAGAATGTAGGAAGTGTCCGTAGAAAACTAACAAACAGGTGTGTTTACATTTAGAACGTAGGAAGTTTTTAAATGCAGAAAGTTAGCAATATCAGCAAGTAAAACGGACAAACAAACCTGTTATGTCCTAAGAACATCACAGAACAAACTGCACTGGATCAGTAGATAGCCAATGTTCAGAACATCCTCTGCAACACACCATGCCTAAATAATTTTTATATTTTACTCATTTTTAAAAAAAAAAAATTTAAAGCTCTAAATTACAGCCAGTATAATTAGCATAAAAGGTAACCTTCACTATTTGAAATGCTTGTGCTGTTAAATCAGTCTTTATATTACAGTAGCATCAACACAAAAAAAGAAGTGCCAGTGATGATGAATTTTTAGTTTTTTTTTTAAATAATTTTAGTTACCTTGAATTATTTTTAATAAATAAATAAATGCTGTTCACTTTAATTTTTCATTAATCAGAACCAGACAAGTAATTTAAGCATGGCTGAATTGTATCACTGGAACCATTGGAAGGGGCATCTAGCAACAGACATAAAGGTAGGAAAATGTCACTTCACTGTTAGAAGAAGGCTCTGTTCATTCCTTTTTTGGCAAGAGAATTTTATTTAAAAGACTTTTTTTATCCCCACAGAATTGGTGTTTAAGTCAAGTGGATGAAACATTGTCTTTTGTATTGTGGCAAGAGGCATCAGCAAAGTAGATTGTTATTTGGGTTTCATACTTTTTGTAATAAATGCATTGTATTTTCTCACATTTGTAAACTTGTTTGACTTTGTATACAAAAAGAGAAGCAAATTATTCTTTGTCTTTTAATGTGATTTTTTTTTTAATAATGCATAAGCTTGTGACAAGTTACCCTTTGGGTACATTGCAAATGAAGTTCATGGGTTTCTTCACTTTAACTCATGGCAAATAATGACCATACTGAGTTACTTGTTCAAATCAAATCTGATATAAGAATGATTTCTATCAAAACAATATTCCTTAAAATTATCTGCAAAATGCTGCCAGGATTTCAACAATGGAACAGCTACTCAAAAACCACTAATTGACACACACAAAAATTGTAATGCTTTAAAAACAAACAGAAGCAAGATAATTAGATTCTTGAAGTGTTTATTTTACATTGATAATACATAGTTGTATTTACAAGTCTCCACATACACTCATGACCAGACATGGACAGACCACACTTGTCATGCTCATGACTTTGGTCCCAAACATTTTTTTTAAACTTACAGGGAAAAAAAAAACATTTATTGCTTGATAACAAAAGTTTTTTTCAAAACTGAAGGTAAGACAAGTCTAGGCCTGTACTGATACACCTGTACAAAATGTATGATCAAATAAAGAATTTTATTAGAAATTTTTAAAGTGAGCATTAGGCCAAAACATTCAACTACATATGGGTAGCTATGACTTATAATTTCTACATGCGTGTGTCAATGAGTAACAGTTGAATACATCAGTGAAAGGTTTCAGAAATAATCATGCAGTCTAGTACTTGATCATATCTTCATACAACTTCATAACTCCTTTTTGTCACTGCGCATACTTCTGTGTCCACTCTCTGGCCACTTTATAATATTTGTCTCTGTCAGTTTTGTAGATGCGAGCAATCTCTGGCACTAAAGGGTCATCAGGATTTGGATCTGTGAGCAGCGAGCAGATGGACAAAAGGACTGGACCAAAATAAATGTAAACGTTAAGTTTGACAGCTAGAAGAGTGGTCAAGTCATGCTAGTTACTGGTACTTATTAGTTTACAATTACAGGAAAAGAACCAAAATTCAATCACCTTTAGAGATGGTCAGTGCAGGTGACCACTGTCCCCTAAGTATATCCAAACAAATGCTACCATTACTGTTGATGTTTGGATGGTAGATTCTGGTGGTGAAGGCCACCTAACAAAAAATTATTTTTAATGACATCTTTAGAACCTGAAAACAGTATTTTCTCAGCCATCCTATGATGCTGACTTAAAGAAACAAATTTAAAATTATGCTTTAAACTGCGCTTGTAGACATAGTTTACAAGTTAAATCAGCAGTAAAGATTTTAAATTTATTATTACCTTGGGAGGCTTGAATGGATAATCTGTAGGGAAGTTGATTGTGAGGAAAAAAACTCCTTGAGCATAAGGACTGTCTGTCTGTTGAAATGAAAAAAAAATGTATGTACAAGTTAGTCATTTCCTTATCTAAGTACAAGTTCAGTTAGTTCTGTTAATAGTATCAGTTAATTTATCAATCTATTCTGAGACAACATGTAACTCACTGGTCCTAAGATAGTTGCCTGCCATTGAAACACTGAGGAAAAATATAAGAAAGAAATAATGAGCATTTAAACACCAGAGGAAAATAAACATTAAAAAACTGACTATCAGGACAGTTGGATTAATTGAAACTAAAACAAGATGTAGGCATCAAGTAGTGAAACAGCAATTTGTGTGCAATACCATGCTACTAAATCACAATTTTACTGTCAATTTGTGAATCTGGGGTAATTAAAAAAAAAGGGATGACATGGTTGGATGGTAGAGCTTATGACTGCCTGATAAACCAAAAGACAACTGGGCATAGTGCTGAATACAATACCTTCCCCTGCTACGCCAAGGTTGCTGAAACAGACGAACTCTACTTCATCTGCCCCATGTGTCTTGGCTTGGGCACAAGCAGGAATTAACGATGATGAATTAAAAGAATACTACCACAATTATTTTTAAAGTCATTAACCTGTCCCCATCAAAACACTACTTACAGTCATCTCCTACAGGTCCTGCTGAACAATTTGTGGGTGGATCTTTACCTAAATCAAGCAACTCCTTGAAACAAAAAAGAAGTTTGACCTCAGTTAATAAAAAGAGTTCAAAAACTAGATTAAATAATGTACCATGCTTGAAATATAACTCTAAACTACAGGCACACAGCCAATTTTTTTTTTAAACTTTAAGTCAGTAGAAAATTGTATAGTTCAAATGAGCAGTGCCAGCGCCAGATTAATTAGCGCCCTAGGCAAAAATTATTAAAAGCACCCCCCCCCCCCGCAATTTTTTTCGTGCTCCCCGTATTATGCCCGGGGACCAACTTTCTATTTGCACCCCCCCCCCCCTCAAACTTTCATTTTGTTTTTCCAGCCCATTTTGAACCCCCCTACAGACAGCGCCCTTCGCTGCCGCCTAGTTCGCCTTATATGTAGCGCCGGACTTGCAATGAAGTGATGTTGATGTAATGCCCCTCAGGCCAAAGTTCTAATAGTTCAGGAATGAAATCTGGCCTAACAGATTCAATCACAAAAATGTGCTTTTAAAAGAAACATGGTAGGCCTATTAGATGAATTTCAGACATTGATAAAATTTAATAAAAATTAAGCCATACTTCTACTTTCAGTACACAGATCTTTATTTTCTTACCGTTGAGGATGCAGGCTGGAAAAATACCTTCTAATTTCTACTCTTTCTAGAATCTAATCTAGCTTCTACTAGAATACTAGATCTAATTCTAACTAAAGCAAGATCTACAACTCTATAATATATGCACAGTATGTAGTTCTGTAGTTAGTATGTCTATCAGTATCATGTATGACTGTATGTTACTAGACCTAGATCTACTATGTTTTAGTTTTATTTAATGTGTGTGTAGGCCTAATAATTTAATTTGGTAGGCCTAATTTAATGTTAGGTTAAATAAAATGAGAATCATGGTAGGCCTATTTCTGATTGAATCTAGATAATAAAAATGAATAAAAAAACAAAGAGACTGACTTTGTTTTAGATTTTGATAATTTATTTTTGTCAAAACTTGAGAAAAATCCAAATTTAGAATATTGAATGTGCTATGTTCGTGTGTCAGTTAGGAATTTTATGGCAATGGGTGAAGTACGTAAACGTAACTCACAGTTGCAAGGCAGTTAAGTTTGTATTGTTACAAGTAGTTAGTCTCATAAAAATTCAATTTTCTTCAAATTATAAAAAGAATAGCATATAATTGTAGAGCTTTAAAAATGCAATCCAACAGTACCAATTTTATTAATTTAGCATAATCGGTTGATTAAATATAATTTTTTTAGTGTCGCAAATAAAATATATAGAAACGCGACCAAAAACGCAGGTAAAAAGTCAAATTCACTTGTTTTAAAGCTAGTAAGCAAGAAAAGACATGATTCTTTCTTACTATTGAAATCAGTTTGCTTATACCTACATTTTTTTACACCAAGGTGAAAGTAAATAGTTTATATAAATTTATAAAATGCCATTTATATAATTTATTGTATGTTTTGTGATGAATTTTCAATTGGAAAATACCGCATTTGGAAGCAGAAAGGTAAATTCTACAGAACAGATGTTGTTTGGAATGTTATAGATTATAGATCTAGGCCTATATCAAAATGTTTGTTTAATAAAATTCAATTAGAGTCCACCCATTTCTGATGGGTACCTGATATACATTGGGGAAATTAAAGGTAAAAAGTAAAGACGGCTGTGAATATCGCTGACCACACGGACAATCACTTCATATGCCGAGGTCAAGAAACATGAACTCTACTTCATCTGCCAAATAGATTGCTTTGTCTACAGAGGAATCTTAATTAATGTTTACAGGGGCCTAATAAAATTTAGTTATGTTTGTAAAAACATTAGGCCTAAGCTTTAAAAACTTATTTTGGTCAATATCGGAAAAAATAAAAATCTTTTCGACTAAATGGGTTGAAAAAAGCTTTGAATTTGTTTCATTGTTTGTTATTATATCTTGTAGTATTTGGAATTGAAGCTTTCTTTCTTAATTACAAGTTGTATTAATTTCAAACCTTAATGTAATTTCTTTTTAATTCAGTATTAGCCTAAATGTAAGGTAGGCTACAGAATTCAGATATTACCTATGGTTTTGTGATTTTTTATATGTTTATAACATTTGTGTTTATGAAATGACCTAATGAAGTTATCAAGCAAACTGTTTTATTATTATTTTAATAGGCCTGCAAGTTATAAGTACAAAATATAGATATCTAGGCCTAATCACTAGATCTAGGTCTAAGTTTAAGAAAAAACTACCAAAAGGGTTTGAAATACTTAAATATAGTACTAAAAGTAGCTATGTTTTGAAAAAAAAATATCTTAAACTGGAGACATTCAATTTAAAAGTCATTATAAAAACTCCACGATCTAGATTTATTTCTAGATCTCTAGTAGGAATACAGATTTAGAGGCTTTCCCATCAGTATCAATGTACTATCTTAGCTATGTGGCAGGTCAGTACGAGTTCACTGGGAAAAAAATCGGAACTGCCGTAGGGGGGTGGGTTTAGTGCGCAAATGCTCCTGACCGATTGCCAAAAGGTACAGAAATTCTAAAGATACATTTTAAAAGAAAAATGGACGGCTGAACTGCAGTTATCAAAATATCTGTGTAAGTAGAAGTATAAATAATAATATTTTACACAAATATAGCTGTCTTTTGCTAAATCTAGCTCACTTTCCACGAAAATCGCATCCGGTCGCAATAATTTTTATATCAGCTTGTCGGCCATTCAACGATCTATCACGTGTAGCAGACGCCAAACAGATTTACCCGTATGGTATTGCGCGAATGCTATTTTTAGCAACAGTGCCGAGACGCGATCGAAAAAAACGAACTAGAAAGTGGCCATAAAAAAGCGGGTCAGGGGAGGTAATTCAACTCGCGTTATGAGACTAGCTATTACAAGTATCTCCCAGGCATGATACTATAAATAAACATTTATGAACGTACAATGACCCCAAAACTGAGGCCAACACAATTTCAAATAGCTATTACCTGAGCTATGATGTATGCTCATGCTGATAATTAAAGTTAATGTGAACTCACGGTGAACCTGCGACAGTGTAAGGATTTTTCTCCCGCTGACGATCACACGACAGTTAATTGGAACAGTTCTAATGCTTTTTATATTTTTTTTTCTTTTCTAATTAAATATCACATTCATAAAAAAATAAGTAGACTAGATCTATGGTTTTCCTAACGTTTTTGTGTGTTTTGGTTGTGAGTGTGTTTATAATAAAATACGCTCAACTGGAGGTGAACGTGAAGCGGGGAATAAAATACGCTAAAGTGGAGTTTTACCTCTAGATCTATAGATTAGGTCTAAAAATAAACAATACAATCCGTCAATAACAGTTGGCTTACTAAAAATAATAAAATACAAAACAAAATCACCCCCCTTCTTTTTTGTGAGCTTTCTTTTTAAAAATAAAATTATTAAAATCCTGTGAAATTTTTTTCATTTTTACCACTTGATAAAGATCTAGATATCTAGATCTAATAGATATGTAGATCTACATCATTATAGCCTTTTTTTAAAATAGTATACACTACTTTTTTGGTGAATAGATTGTGAAAATGATTCAAAATACCTTTTTTATTCTCTTCTGAGCCATGGTGAACTTTGCGTATTTCAAGCCGAGACTAGGCCTAAGTCAGCACTGTATTTTTTTTAATAGCTGACTGGATTGCCAGATAAAATTGGTTCAAGAAATTCCAAGCCGCCAATCTCAAATTGAATAGTGTATTTTTAATACAAAACTCGCGACTGTTTGAGTCTTTATTGTCTGGTTACTATTCAGGAATGATTTTTCTTGTTAAAATTTAAGTTCATTACTTATTTTGTGCTTAAAGTTTAAAGAAATAAATTTGAGCAGTGTCTGTACTTGTCACAAAATAAATAGACATTGTGTTGTCAGGTATTTCTATTCAGTTCTTAGTACATTCGGAGTTTTTTTTTTTAATTAATGCAGTACAAAAATAGTATATTCTATCTAAAGAAAAAGAATGCACGCTAATCTAAAATACTGCCTCCTTAATAAAACCTAGTTTGTTTATTGTGTGGTAATCATCCTCATATTATATTACATGAAGGAGTAGATGTGGTTTGGTATTGTAATAATAGGCCTTTAGATATATTCTCGAATAGAGAGGTTGCATCCTCTATCGTCAATTTTCTTCCCTTTTTTCTAGTTTATTATTTCGAATAAATAAACTGGCACAACTGGTTTACTTATTTCTATTGTTTAACACGAAATTGTGAATGCAACCGTGAAAGTTATTTCTTTCAAAATGATGAGATTGAGATTCTCCTAATGAATCTTCAACAGCCAGTATTTGTAGTACCGAAATTTGTCACGATTTGGATCCCCATAATAAGAAATGTTGTGGTGTTGTGGTCTAATGATATACTGATCAATATCTATTTATCATTACATAAATGGATCAAAATTGAACCGAAAAAGCAAGAGTTTTTAAATGTGACCAATATGGCAACTCTCGCTATTAAATCAGGAAGCTCACGCATTCATTTCAGCTACCATAGTGTATTATATAGAATCTAGGTCTCGCCTTATACCGGATTTTTTTAATATAAACTGCGCTGCAAACATCTACAGTCCATTTTAACACGAAATATTTTTCTATCTATGCTAACATTTAAACACAAACCTTTCACAAAACAATGATATGCATTTATTTAGATTTAATATTTATAGTCGAAAAATCAGTTGCGAAAAATCCTGTTGGTTAACTTGCTAGTTCAAGATCGTATCTTCCTTTTTTTTTTAGACCAAGCGATCCATTGTCAGATGATCCGATCTGTATACTATATATATATATATCTTCCATGATCATAATTAGCATTCTCCATACATAATTAGCTCTCCTTTCATGAAAATAAACCAGACCCCCCCCCCTTTTCAAACAACAAATGTAATGAGTTATATGTCTGCATCCATTTCTTGATATTAAAGTAGCCTATTGTACTGTACCGTGATTTGTGTTTGGATTAACCGATTGCTTGAAACGTTTCTTGGCTGTGCAACACTTCTAAAGCTTGGATTAAAATCTACCTACCTTTAGTATTTAACAACCCATAATATCAATTTCGCTTAACATAAAATACTGTTTTTCTGTCTAGATTTGCTTACATTGCCTTTTTCCACATCTAGGGGATTCAAACTAAAGATTTGGATTTTTCAATCATCACACTAATCAAACCGACAACGCTCTGCCTTAACCTTGAGTTAACATTTTGAATTGTTATCATCAGCGGTTGGTAGATGGAGGGTTGGTGAGGCTATTGTGCATTACACTCTAGGTAACATTCAGGTTTCTAATGAAATGTGTTGTGGAGCTAGCCTGATAACTACATTACCCCAATCGATTTCAAAGTATACATCCTATTGTAGTGCATCAAGCCTCTGGTGAGTCTTATACAGATTTTTAGTTTTTAATCCTCTATTATTTATATCTGATCAACAACATCTGGTTAATATGAATGGCATGACTGAATGCTAATATATACACCATTATTTTTTTTAAAGCATTCTTACACACTATTGTGTCAGTTTGTATTTGTAAATTGAGTTATGAAACCATTCTCTTCATTGGAGTAATATGTATTTTAAAAACCATAGAATTTTACAGTGTCAAAGATATTATTATATACATGTATTTTATTCTCCACAATAAATTTATCCTTGCCATAAGTATGATTTTTATGCAGTATTTCCAGTGACTGCAGACAATTTAAACATATTTAGTACAGGAATTAATGAAAGGTTCATGTGGTGAACTACACATAAAAACAGCCCAGCTTAGTACAGACTAGAGGTTAGATGTTTGTATTAAATTTAACTTTTAATTTAACAGAACTATACTTTGAAAAAAAAATTTCACATCACTCAACTCTCACACCAATTTAACTATCTAATTCTATATAAATATAGAGCCAAAAAATCTCAGATGCGAGGATGAAAAAGCAGGTGACATTTCTCATGGGGGAGAGATAATAAACGACATCTGTTCATGCATAGCGTAGGATTTAATGTATAGCTGCAGACCTGTCGAGAAAATCAACATCAGCCCAAAGCCAACACATCATCTTTAAAACCTGATCAAATTCTTTGTGTGCTGTTGATCATCAGGAAATCAAGAATGTTTGTTGTATGCCATAACAAAAATATAGTCAATGGGTGGTTGAATGGGATTTCAAATAAACAGTGTCCAAGTGCCAAGTTTTGTATCAATGTCCATTTTAATAAGAGCAATAAATAGGAAACAAACCTTCATAAAAAAAATAAGCTAAATAGGACCATGAAATGAATCACAAATCAAATGTACATACGAATAGACTTGTGTCCCATTGTCAAGCTTTCATTGTATTCACACAGCAAGTAGAAATTTATGGGATGCTAAATGAAACAATTTCAGTACTAGTTAACAGTAACACAAGTGTTAGGCACCACCCCAACACCGAAAGTAAGTGAACAGAACTAAAAATAAAAACTTTAAAAACAAACTGCTGCAATCCTTTAAAAGTGATAATTTTTTTTAAAAACCCTAACGTTACATAGAAAGATATATAATATGGTGTAAGTAGGAGAACTCTAGCTTTTAGAAAAATATCTTTCTGTCTCAAATTATACTTTATGTACAATCAATAATATTGGAAGGAAAGCAAAATAAAAAGATGGTGTCCTGCTGTATGCTAGATGGTGTGTTTTCCTGAAGCAGCATCAACAAACAATGCTGCACTCTGACATCACTCTGCATATTTTGCAGTCCATTCTTTGGCTAGTCTGTTGTACTCTGTGCGATTTGTTTTAAACATTCTGGCAATTTCTGGGACCAACGGGTCATCGGGATTCGGATCTGTCAGTAGTGAGCAGATTGACAACAACACTGAAAATAGAGTTGGGGAAAATGGTTTAAAAATTGGTAGTTTTAAAATATCAAATTGATGGGCTGTTGTATGGTCATGCGTATGGCTATTAAACAAAATACATTCCCTTTACAGTAGCATAGACCAACAGCAAACACTGAAAATAGAGTTGGGAGAAAATAGTTTAATTGATAGTTTTAAAATAAAAATATGATGGGCTGTTGTAAGGTCATGTGTATGGCTATTAATCAAAATACATTCCTTTTAGTTATATCATCCTCAAACTCAAAAACCTGGTAGAGCAAATGCAAACACTTATTATTTTCAAAGGTGTAAGTCAACAACACACAAAACCTATCATTTCTCAAGAGCAAGTATGATCTTGTAGCAAGTTGTAAATGTTATATTGTTTCATTTAATAAGCTCATGGATACAGATGGCTGAAAATGCCCTTAGTTAACAGCTCCATACACAACACACAGCTCCATACACAACACAATGTGGAAAATTCAACTGGAAAGATAATTGTACAGCTTATAGGAATTTGTACAGAAAAAACCTACTGCAGCACTTGACTTGTATCTGGCTATTGTATTTTTTTTGTCCCATTTTACTCTTACAATAGATACACTTTTGGAATTCTTTTCTCTTAGTGAAGTTATCAGACAAATAAATGTACACTATTATTTTTAATTAGCAATTGGTTCCCACATTTGTAGAACTGCATATATGTAAAAAAAAAAAATGGAGTGTCATTACCAGCAGTAGCACTAGTAACAGTAATCTAAGAGGATTTGGGTATAAGGTTTATGGTATGGAGCCAAATAAATTGATTTTGATACTTTTAAAATATAAATAACAAGCAACATTTTAAATAAAATAGTAAATTTAAAACTAAAAAGTTACACAGAAGTCAGACAGCCAAAAAATATTTAAAACAAGAACAAAATAAATGAATAACAATGGAATTACAAAAGGGAGACAAAAAACTAAATAGGATTTCAGCCCGTTATAAAACCATTTGATTGTTTTACCTCCTGCATATTAACCTTAGGAATTATCTTATTTTAAGAACCATAAGAAAATTTAAAGTTTTCCAATGCTGACTTGCTAAGCTTAAAAGCCGGAAATTTTATTTTATCTGCTATAACTATAAGTTAAAAGTGTTTTTAAAAAAGAACAAACCTTTTGATATTGTGAGGGCAGGTGACCATTGACTTCTTAGAATATCTAAACAAATGCTGCCATTACTGTTGATATTTGGGTGATAAATTTTGGTGGAGAAAGCTACCTGAAATATATCAACATATTGCTTATAAACAACTGTTATCTTTTATAAAGATTTAAATAAAATACTAATATATTTATTGTTAGTGTTTCTATAAACTATAAGCTAACAAAAAATATTTAACATTCAGAAAGTTTTAAAAAAATGGATTACTGTAGAAGTATTGTCTTTTCTATAAATTAATTACTACGTAGTGTTTCCCTTAAGAAAATACAGAGCCTAAGGACTTTATAAATGTGTATCTTGTAATAACACTACAATTAAATGTCAATCTGGCAAAACTGATTAAACAAATACATTTTTTAATAAAGCAAATCAACTTACTTTAGGGGGTTTGAAAGGATAATCTGAAGGAAAAGTTATAGTGAGAAAAAACACACCACCTTGATAAGGACTGTCTGCCTGCAATTAAGTAAAATATAATTCATATTAAATACAAATCTTAGAACAGACAAGTTACAGGTACTTCTCTAAATCTAAAAATTCTTTAGTTAGTTTCACTTTCAAAATACAAAAAACTCACAAGAAACAATAGGAGTAAATAAATATTATAAATACTTACAGGACCTAGAATTGTTGCTTGCCACTGGAAAACTAAACAAACAATAAAGGATTAGAAAAAAAAAGTTGGTTTTTAAATAACTTAAAGAAAATAGTTATTTTTTACTCAAATTAAAATGTCAGCAGTAATTCCCTTAGGCATTAGCCATAATTATAACAGTGACAAAAAACACTAACCTAATGGCTTATATAAACCAACAAAATCAGAACTTACTGTCATCTCCGACTGGTCCAGCTGAGCAATTACATGGTGGATCTCTGCCCAAGTCTAATAATTCCTGAAAATCAGAGAAAGTAAGTGAAAATCAAACTTTTTTATAAATCTAAAGGCTAATTTTAACATTTTTAAATTAACACACAAAAAAAACAGTTGGTAAAAAATAAATAGGCTAGGCCCCTATATCATCAAATATTCCCAAAGTGAAAATAGTCTCATTGGCAAAATAAACTTTACAAATACACTGCAGACCTTTTTATTTTGATAAAGTTTTGTATTAGTCTACTTAAATAGCAGTTGTTATGCTTAAGGGGTCATCCATAAATGATGTCACGCTTTTTTTGATGATTTTTACCTCCTACCTCCCCTCCATCACACATCGTCTCAAAAAAAGCCGGACCCCTCCTAAACCCTAAAATGATGTCACACTTCAGCCTACAACCCCCCCCCCCTCAAAATTGCAGTTGAATTTATTTAAAACATCAATATTTTTTCCAAAATCTTGTCTGAACTCTGTCAAATAGAGTATTTAAATCAATTCCTATTATAATTTTCTAAAACGCGAAACAACGTCTAAAATTTTTTTTTCTAACATTGCTTTCTTATAATGCAAAAGTGTGACATCGCACCATCTGAACCCCCCCTCCCCCTCATCACGCACCATCACAAAGTAGGGACCCCCTCCCCCCTACGAGTGTGACGTCATTTATGGACAACCCCTAATAATTAGTATCCACATATCTGACAAAAGAGGGACAGTGACATCAACCCCCATTATAAGCCAACCTCTCAGCTAACATATTGTTATTGGTGATTAAGCCTACTTATACAAGCCTATATTTTATATGAATATCAAGGAACTAATTAGATAATAATCGCTAATGAAGGGAGATCATTTATTTTTGTTTATGCTTAAGGCACGACACTCAACACTAAGTGATCATGGTATGTGGCCAGACCTATTTAAATGAGATTGTTTAGCCTATATTAATGTTTTGAGTTTATATATAACACTATCACGTGCAAAGAGCCCGCCAGTTAGTTGAGGCCAGGCCTGGGAGATGTTCTGCTTGAGAAATAACGATTCGACTTGAAATATCGATCGGACAGATATGTGTACCAGTAACCTAACACCTATTTTTTAACAAGATTCTATTATCGGACACTGGTATAGAGGTCTAAATAAATTAGTAAACAGTAAACTATGTAGGCTAGTACTAGGGTTGTCGGCATCGGCCGAGTTCGCGGTAAAAACATGACCCGAAATCGCCCATTACTTTCTGATACCGGGCAAACGAGATTTGGTTTTGCATACTAATAAGTTTTTAATTTATGGTAATTAATTAAGTTTAAAAGGTCATTTCCTAATGTTAATTAAAAAGTTGGATGCTTTTCCCTTTGTTTTAATGGTTTTACGATCTGTTTGCATGCTGTCTCTGCTTTGGTCTCACCCCTGTATAAAGGTTAGTTTCAAATGCTTCAAAAACTCGATTTTTGAAAAGTTTCCATTTAGTTAAAGAAAGTTTCCAAAGCAGATACATCTCTATTTTATAGATATGATATTTGTTTTTGGATATTCTGACTTGGAAATTAGATATACTCATTTGAAAGTAGTCACTGTATGTAGGTCGCGGTGCCACCATTGTTATATTTTTTCATCCCGATCTGCCGGCTTTTAGTCTTGATACACAATACACTCTTGTGTAATAGTACTATGTAAACAACTCTCCTAATTGTTGTTTTAAAAATAATTTTATAGAACTATCTTTCCCTTTTCAGCTCTAAATTTAGTTTTGCTTGAAGATTTATATTTTTCCTAATATGTTTCATTTGTTTTCCCCCTGATTAGCCCTGATTGTAATTTCGTTAGACTAGACCTCACTACTGCATAGCCATAAGACATCAGACATTGATTATCTGAACCTGTCTGTTGCTATACTATAATTCAGTATACAAAACTATACAATGTATTGTATAAGCAAACATTTGTAAGTAGTCAAAATCAATAGAACAATAAGAATGACAATTATTAAAATGAGTAATAATAGTAGGCCTAATAACTATTTGCTTATTTTGTTTCTCCCAGCTATGGATAGACCTACTGAAATTACTCATTCTTTAGAAGAACTCAATAATCTAATTGATTCTTATAAATGTTTACAAGATTTTATTAAAGTTGGTAATTTAATCTGGTTTTCTAAAATTAGTAACAATAATCATCAAGCAGCACTGTCACTTTTAAAAGAAATAAAGAATAGTGATGTATTGACCTCTCGATATTGTGACATAGAAGTTAAAGCACTAAAGATCGCAATTTTCAATGCTGAAAAGAAATTTAAAGGCCTGAAAAAAAGCATTAGCAGCAACTGGAGTGCAATATCAAGTTTTTTAAATGAAGCTTATCGTTATCCCTTAGATAGGAAGCAAACATCTGTTGAAGTTGAAATGTATCCTTCTATTCCTGGACCTTCAAAACCGTCACCTGTTAAACATGCTCAAGTTCAAACATTTGACAAAGAACTTCGTTCAGATTGTGCCAATTGTGTATTCAAAAGAATATCAAATGAGAATCTTTTGAAAGAAAATAAAAAGCTAAAACAAGAAAAACTTTCACTCCTGAAAGCACATGCAGCATTAAAAAGGCTCTACCAAGTAAGAAAAATAAATCAAAAATTAAAAAGAATGACACAACGTCTGCATAAAAAGAAGCAAGAGATCATAAGTTTAAAACATACAATCAAGGCTCTTCCTGTACATAATTATGTTCAACAAAAGCAAAAAATTAAATACATAAAGAGAAGAAATAAAATTTTGAAGTCTAAAATTGATTCTAATACACTTACTTTGAAAAATAATAAACTGATGATTTCAAACCAATCTAAAGAAATTGTGTCCTTAAATCAAGTGATAGATGATTTAACTTGTCGCTTTGAAGAAATTACAAATAAAGAACGTATAATTACAAAAAAAGGCAAAGAATTTGACACAGACACCAGACTTTGCATGTACAAGTCCCTGCTCTGTAATGTGTCTGTGGCATCAGCTGGTGACCTGCTAGAATTTTTTATTGAAACAATGACCGGTCAAAAGCTTTCATCTGTGCCTAGTCAAACAACTGTAGCCCAAATGTCTCTAGAACTGGGCATCTTAGCAGATATCCAAATAGGTGAAGCACTGATGTTAAATAAAAATGTTACTTTGTCTTGGGATGCCACCCCAGTAGATGGAGCCCATGTCAATGAAATACATATTTCAACAGCTCCAGATAAACCCCTAATTTTGGATGTCAGAGAATTGCCTGGTGCTAAGGCTAGTGACTATGCACAACACATTTTTCAGTCTTTACAACATGTTACATCTTTATATGCTAATCATAAAAAAATTCCAGAGGCCAATGTTTCCATATTTTGTAAATCATTGATCCAGAAAATTTCTTCAACAGTAACTGACAGAGCTCCAGTTAACCACTGCGTTGTCCAACAATTAAATATTTTATTTGACACTCAAATTTTAGAGCTGAATTGCAATGTACATCCCCTTGATGGCTTTGCATCTGCTGCAAGGAAATCCATTTTAGAATACGAAAAATCATCTGGCTTATCTTCATCCACATCTTTACACCCAAAAGCTGTTCACTGTTTAATGGATGTCTCCAAATTACGTTACTCAATGAAGACTGGAGATCCACCTGGTTTTAAATTATTTTGTAAAAAATTTGACATTCCTATTGGAATGTTCATGAGATACGTAGGAAACAGAATGCATATTTTGTTCCACTTATCTGGTATTATTATTTTTTATAGAAAAAATCTGCTCACATATGTATCCAAAAATCAAGCTTCAAATTTAAAAAGAAACATCAAAAGTTATCTAGAAGACCCAATTGTTGTAGCACAACTCACTACCCTTGCTCTAATTGGAAAATCAATTACTGGGCCTTGGATGACCAAATTTTATTCAAATCAATCAAATTTAGGATTAGTTCCTGTTATTCAAGGCTGCCAGTCTGAATTTGAACGTTTTGTTTCAAGCCCTTTAGAAGTTCTTACTCTTAAATCAAATATTTTTGGTGAGCCTATTAATCAAGAAATTGATCCTGTATTAAAATCACTTATAAGCAATTTAGACCCTGAAACAACAGTATTAATTAAAAACATCATTCCAATTGCAGTACAGAGTATTTATTTAGTTTTTAAGAGGCAATTGTACAATTACATTGAAGGAAATTTGTCAAACCCTAGTAGCGAAATGATGGAACAAGCCTCATCAGCACCAGCACATAACATGGCCTCTGAAAGAGCTCTAGGTTTGACAGATTACCTGTGGAGACGGGCACCAAATTCCACATTTATGTTTATTTCTGGAAAAGTTAAGAGCAGGTTTAATGACACCATGTCATGGCTGTTAAAAAAACCAGAGGATGAGCTTAAAAAGACCATCAACTTTTCAATGAAAGAAGCTTACAAATTAAGAAAATTGAATCATCTAAAAATGAAGGCCAATGAGAAAGAAGCGTTGGAGAGACAAGTTGAAACAGAAAAGCTGTTTGATAAGAAAAATAGAAAAATGATAAATAAACAAATTAAGAAAGCTTTGAAAACTAATGATTTTTCCTCAGAAATTTTTAAAAGAAGTTCTCTTGAAATAGCCAATCAGTTTAATTTGATAACTGCAAAAACTTCTGAGCTGCCGACATTTTTAATTGGCCAACAAATTAATCATTTATGGGATGTTGAAGGCAAAGATGTCTTGTATAATGGAAGAATTGTTGATGTATATTTCAAAGGGCAGAAGAATCCTGAGAAATATCTGACAGTGTCCTACTGGAAGCCAGATGAAGTAGAAGATGAATCTGTTGATTACAACATCATTTTGACAGATTTTTTAACTGATCTAATTTTACATGATCTAATGTTAATTTAAACATTTATATCTCAAGCTGTCTGTAAATATTTGTATTCTTATGAATCTTTTTATTTTTATAATTGAAACATTGATGACTTCAGTTATAAAGTTGTAAATTGTGTAAATATAAATTTGATGTGAACAATTAGATATTGAGTTCTTCGACTGAGTATTCTTTAAATGTCTGGGTAAGAAGTACATTCCACAAAATAATGTCCTGTGAATGAAAACAAAATCAAACCAATCATGAATGGAAACCCAATCAATTACTAAAATGGAAAAAATTGTGATGATGATTATAAAAAAATCTTGATTTGCTTGTCAAAACAATTGATTTATTGTTTATTTCAGATTGTTATTTATATGATCACAGGCAGGGTATTATTATTAAAGTATGGGATCTAGTTTTCTCCAGCCGGAGGAGTTTCACTGTTGTGGGTAACGATACAAATAAAATTGATACAACCCTGCTTGTTGATCATAAAAGTATCAATTTATCTTTGGTGCATGCATCTTCTTTGCTAAGTAGTTTATGTTCTACTAGAAGTTAAAAAATAAATAAGTTGTATTTTGAAATACCCTGTAAGTATAAGATAAGGCTAATGCAGTTTTAGTAAAATGCATTTCCGCAGTTGAGGTAAGTATTCTGTGCATGCAGTTTCGGTTGAGTTTAACGGTCTACTAATTCTACTAACCTTTTTTCATATTTGGATATTTAAAATACAAATATTTAGAATGAAATACCTTTATCTATTATATATGTATATCAAACATTACTCTAAAAATAACAATACCTATAAATTAATGTAAAAGAACATAGTGCGTTTTTTAATGTAAGGGTAGATATTTCATCAAAAGTATACTATCTCTTTTTTTTTCTTCAGTTTTACCATGTATATATCTTCCCTATAACATTGTAGACAAACTCTGCAAATATGAACAAAATCCAACTGAAATTAACCAAACTATACTCATTTATAGATACCCTATGATGACTTGTCACAAGTGGCCAATGTTAAGAAGAGGGTTTTGTACCCCCCACGAAAAAATTCATAAAAAAAAAACTATTTGGGATAGAAAGAAATTTTTTTCTGTTTTGTTTTCTCCTGAGAGAGATCTACAAGAACATATAATTTTTATTTTAATATGATGAAATTTGTGTTTTTACCTAAATCCCTACTAGTACTAGTACTTGACTAAATTTACTAAAATCTTAAAATTAAAATGACTTCAAAATCAAAAACACTTGTTTAATCTTGGATGCTCGCTGATTTTGACATAGAATCTAGATCTAGTAAAAGATTCATGAGATAATTCTAAGAAGAGAAGAGAGAAAGATAATATAGATTCTAGAATCTAATCTCGTGATCCTTCTAAATTCTAATCTAGATTCTAGATCTAGTGACTTGACTGGCTGGTGGGTTTGGTAATAGATCTAGATCTAGATCTAGATTCTAGATCTTCTAGTATCAGTGGAGAACAGGATAGAAAGAACAAGAAGTCAAAATCAGGCTAGATTGGGTGCTGGGAATTACAATTAATTACATTTCCGAATGAATTAAGGCGATGGTACGCACAATACAAGACATTCCGAAGTAGTGTACATATTTATTCTAAAGTTTATGTACCTTCTGGATCCTTTTCATTGCCATTATGAATTAAAAGTTCTGGATATTTCCTCTACCAGTGGTCTCTAAACAGCCCTGAAGAAATCTAATTTTAGAAATGAAGTATCGTAGATGTCTGTTATCCCGGTTAAGTATCGATATTATATATTATATACTATAATAAAATGGATAAATAAAATGATATACTAAAATGTTTAAGTATTTCTAAACATTATTAATTATATGTTGTTTAAATTTATAAAGAATAATATATACCGTTATTTCTTTTTACATAATCCAAGAATCGTTCTCCTATTTTACAAATTTTGTATCGAACTTTTTATTTTTAAAATGGACATGCGCAAACAGAATTTCCGGCAGTCGAAAATAGCCCAGGGAGTTCCATAGGCATGGATAATAATAATGTCGTTTTGAAGATATTTTCATTTATGGGCGAACAGATCCGTGAACTTTAAAAAAAATTAATAAACTGAAATAATTAGTTTATACGAGGAATTATATATTTGTCCCCAAATAGCTTAATTCTTACGGGATAAAGATATGAATTAACATTGGATAGAAACTTATTGTTAAAATAAGGGTGGGGAAAGAAAAGGAAGGATAAAATATTGCAGACATGGCTAAACGCCAAGAATAGAAAAATCTAGGCTGCACATTTATCTAATGCCACGCAGATCGCTCTCTATCAATGTACAATTTTCAGGAATGCATTAAACTATAAATGAATATATTTCCTTAATTTTAACCAAAGATAATAACCACCAAATTGATATCTGAAATGGGTTTATGCAGACAACTAGATCTAGTAAGCAGTAATCAATTTTTTTTCCCAACGATATTTAAACATAGAATTCTAAAGAGGCGTTTTAGGATTTTTGAAAAGCGCTGGTGAAAAGTACGTCTTGCATCTCCTCATTTGATGAACATTTTAGCAGTCTCTCCAGCCTTCCACCTGTCGTTGACAAGCCAATTTAATTATAGTCTCATCCATTCTCAGAGGCGTAGCGACCCTTCCCGGCGCCCGGGGACAAACTTTTCGATTTGCACCCCCCTCGAGATTTTGATTTGCACCCCCCCCTCGAGATTTCCATTTACACCCCCCCCCCCTCAAACTTTCGATTTGCACCCCACCCCCTCGAGATTTCCATTTGCACCCCCCCCCCCCTCAAACTTTCTATTTGCACCCCCCTCAACCTTTCAATTTATTTTTCCAACCCATTTTGGCGCCCCTAAGGTCGGCGCCCGGGGACATATGTCCCCCCGCCCCCCCCCCCCCTCGCTACGCTACTGTCCATTCTACAAGTGGTCTGGGGACCAGGAGTCTTGTGTTGGTCTGGGGACCAGAAGTCTTGTGTTGGTCTGGGGACCAGGACCAGGAGTCTTGTGTTGGTCTGGGGACCAGGAGTCTTGTGTTTGTCTGGGGACCAGGACCAAGAGTCTTGTGTTGGTCTGGGTCCATGGGTCTTGTGTTGGTCTGGGGACCAGGACCATGAGTCTTGTGTTGGTCTGGGGACCAGGAGTCTTGTGTTGGTCTGGGGACCAGGAGTCTTGAGTTGGTCTGGGGACCAGGACCAAGAGTCTTGTGTTGGTCTGGGGACCAGGAGTGTTGTGTTGGTCTGGGGGCCAGGACCAGGAGTCTTGTGTTGGTCTGGGGACCAGGAGTCTTGTGTTTGTCTGGGGACCAGGACCAAGAGTCTTGTGTTGGTCTGGGTCCATGGGTCTTGTGTTGGTCTGGGGACCAGGAGTCTTGTGTTGGTCTGGGGACCAGGAGTCTTGTGTTGGTCTGGGGACCAGGAGTCTTGTGTTGGTCTGGGGACCAGGACCAGGAGTCTTGTGTTGGTCTGGGGACCAGGACCAAGAGTCTTGTGTTGGTCTGGAGACCAGGACCAGGAGTCTTGTGTTGGTCTGGGGATCAGGAGTCTTGTGTTGGTCTGGGGACCAGGACCAGGAGTCTTGTGTTGGTCTGGGGACCAGGAGTCTTGTGTTGGTCTGGGGACCAGGAGTCTTGTGTTGGTCTGGGGACCAGGAGTCTTGTGTTGGTCTGGGGACCAGGAGTCTTGTGTTGGTCTGGGGACCAGGTGTCTTGTGTTGGCCTGGCAGAGTTACTTCCAGGCATCTTTTCGGGGGAGGGGGGTGGAACCAGGAGTCTTGCGTTGGTCTTTGGACAAGAAGTCTTGCGTTGGTTTAGGGACCAAAAGTCTTGCATTGGTCAGTCTTGCGTTGGTCTAGGGACCAGGAGTCTTGTGTTGGTCAGTCTTGCGTTGGTGTAGGGACCAGGAGCCATGCGTTGGTCAGTCTTGCGCTGGTCAGTCTTGCGTTGGGGTAGGAACCAGGAGCCATGCGTTGGGTCCCTTGCAGGCTGCACCACTTGTCTTAAAGCTATTTTGTCTTCTGTGCCACGTTGCATGCGAGTTTTCCAGTGCATTTTGGTTTCCATTGAGAGTACTTAACTCATAACTTAACTCGTCGAGTTGTGAACAGTTTCTTCCCCCCCCCCCCCTCCCCGAAGAAAGTCTACCCCCCCCCCCCCCCGAACGAAATGGAATTTACATACAAAATATATACTTTTAACAATGCCCGCCGCCCCCCCCCCCCGGAAATTTTAGCCCCCCCCCCCCCCCCCCCCCCAAGAAAAAAGTCTGGAAAAACACTGGTCGTGATGAAGCCGCCTCGCGATATAAATACTAAATTTTGACAAATTGATACTTGACGTCATTGCCGAGTGGAGAGCATGATACACATCCCGTCCGTGGGGGTTCGGAGACTATGTCGTCAACTTTCAGTCAAATGGCTTTGTCCAAGTGTTTTGGATATATGCGACCTGGCCCAGCACCCTGTCATAAAATTTCATTGTGCACCCCCCTCCCCCATTTTTAAAGCTCATTTTCTGAAAAACTGGGGTTTTCCAGAGCTCTTATGGTAAATCATAACCAATTCACTAATTATCAAAACGGGTTGTATGGCTGTCAGCATTTAGATCTCCGGAGTGAATATAATACCGCGTTCACACTTGCAACATGTATACTATACAATGTAACTTCGGGTTCTCAGAATGTAAAGAATGACTTGTATGCCTACTTTGTTTCTATAACCTTGATTTAGTCCTCTTTGGTCCTTATGGAACATAGATCCTCCACATGTCTAGAGGAGAAAAAACCACTCGCAGTAAGTTAGTATATATGTTCCGCGGGAAATAGTTTTTCATATAATAACATTAACTTGCAGCGAGTCCCCCCCCCCCCCACCCAGATATGTTTATTATATACACGCCACTGATTAAACTACCGCAGGGGTTCGATTTAGTCATCGTTTGTAGCTCACAGTATCCCTAAATAGGGCCTCTTCTGTGTGCGCATATTTTTATGTGCGCATTTGTCTGTGTGAGCATTTTTCCTTTTTGTATATTATCTGTTTGAGCACATTTCTGTTTGCCAAATTTTCCGTTACGCCTTTTGTTTCAGCGCATTTTTTAAAAAAATTTCTGAGAACCGATGATTTACTTTAAGAATGCAATTACATTTTCTACCGGTTTTCTTAACGTTAAACAAAAGTTACTCTTATCTATTTTAATGTTATCTTCACTATATTCGAATACATTACCTTTGCATCCGTTAAGTTATGAGTGAATGTTATTTTCCTAAAGCTAAAACAAGGAAACAATTGAAAGCTGTTTAAAGCATGATGTTATTTTATTGGAAAATAATGATCAATGTAATCAATAACTTTTGTAACTGCATCATTCCAAAAGTTTATAAATATTTTTGAAATATGCAACGAAGTATGAAAGCGTTTTTGTTCTCCTTTCTTATAATCCAAGCAGACATCTTTAAAGAAAGTGAAGTCTTACGCGATGCCTCATGTTGAAAACACTTGGAAATAAGCCCCCCCCCCCCCCCCCCCCCCATGTATACAATGGCAATTTTTTGTTAAAGATGTGACATTTTTTTTTATCATACTTAAGTTAGACACACCATACTCCAATTTAAACATGCAGTTTGTCAATGTAACTTCGGGTTCTCAGTTGTAAAGATGGCCTGTATGCTTACTTTGATTCTATAACCTTGATTTAGTACTCTTTGCTCCGTGATGAACCACCATTACCTTCGATCCCCGGCTATTAATTTCGCAATCTCCCAAGACATCCATGTTGGCTTCAGTTCTTTGAGAAGACTCCGCCTCCAGGTCTGTCTTGGGCGCACTCTCTTTCCCTGGGGGTGCCACTCACATTACAATGAGCCTTTCCCAGTGTGTCCTACCCAGCTTCACTTCCTCCTTATTTGCACAGTCATAGGCTCCTGCCTTGCTTTTCTCCATAATTCTATGTTCTGCACTTTGTCCTGCCACATCAATTTCAAAATCTGTCTAATCTGTTTCTATAGCCTAAGGCATGTTTCCAATTTAGCCTGCAAGATCTTTATTTGTATTTATAGATTGTGCTATAAAGTTCCCCTAAAGTGAAGTTCTAATCTAAAAATGTTTGCAATAAAAACAACACCAATGAAAGAAAGAAAAACAAAAAAAGTAATGTGTATTATTTTAATATCGAAACTGCATTTGGAAAATATAGGAACACTGAAGCCCATTTGGATTGAACAATTTTGTTTATAATCAAAGACTAAACATCAAGTGATACATCAATGGGCAAAAAAACAAACAAAATTACAATAATCAAAAATAGAAGTCGATCCATTTACCTAAACTATTGGAATGTTTATGTGATGAAAAAACTATACAGCTATTGGTAGAAATGTTGTCACAAAAGCCGAGAGATTTCTGAAATGAAATGTATCAAAGGGCATCATAATTTCTTACCAGCTTTGTCCTCGTTAATTACTCTCATTAAATGTTAGAATACACACAACCAGCTGTAGACTCTTCAGTCTTTGAAAAAAAAAATTCTTTAAAAAAAAATGCAGTCTATGGTCTGAAGCTATCAGATGGAACAAAAAATGCATGGAGTAAAAAAAGCAGAAGAAAAAAACCTCTACAAAAAAACCTGCGTAGCTCCAGTCTAACACAGGGTGATTGTACAACAGTTCACTAGGTTGAAACATAAACAAAATATATGCAAGCGCAACAACATAAGCTGACTGGAAATAAATGCATTGGAAATCATGAGGGTTAAACCGGTGCACAATATAGCTACAAGAAAAATAAATAAAACACATGTGGACTGTGATCTTTGAGTTGATGGTTGGGTAGACACATGCTACATCAAACATATCACAGTTATATGATAACCTCACAGAGAGCTAAAAAAATGAATGACATTCAACATCACTACAGCAAATCCTCCTTCACAGCACCCTAGCCCCAACCATATCCTTCAGCTGTTACATTAGTAAATATATGCCTCAGTATTCCATCTACACATTTCTTTGTCGAACAAACCTTAGGCAGTGCCATACTACCAACAGTTTAATTCTGTTATGTTAGAGTTAAATAGCGTGATCCAGTACAATAATTAAGATAACGAATATTACCACAGAAAAAAAAATTAATTTGTTCGTGAATTTTTAGCTTTAGACGGAGCACATGTAAAGCTGGGACAGAGATTCAAGTTGATGTAAACAGCAGGAGCCTGTGTGGGTTGGAATAGAAAGGCACAGTTGAGAAACCAATGCCTGAAAGAAAAAAATATAACCACCTAAAGCTGGACAAGACTAACTCTAAACGGGAGTTGCTTCAAGTTGTAATATCACAAAGAATAACCAGAAAGAAAAAAAAACATACCAGCCACATAAGATTAGGCAGACATTTATAGTGTAACAAGTTGCTCTATGTACATATTTATTTGAAAGATACCACCACAATTTTTTTTTTTGCAGGAGTTTCTATGCACACAACTGTAGTGTATTCAAACCCCTGTGTGATGATTGAGATGAGTTAAAAAAAAAAAGATGTGTCATTAGAAAGAGCACATGACTAAGACAGTAGGAAAGATAATCAGACAAGGCTACACATAACAAGGATTGAATGCCACACAATGAGATGGTTGAGCATTCACTTAAACTCAAACAGCATTTAAGCAGCATGCAGAAACTAAGTAGCCACTCCCCACACTCGCATCCCTCGCACACACCTTTGTTTAAAGCATTCAGACACTATGGTAATGTTGGTGGATGTCAAGTTTAGCATGGAGTTTTTCAGTAGCAAAATGAACCATCAGGTAATATCTTAATTGGCTTTGTTCACTTGCTTGAGAACAAACATGTCAGACTTTGCTATATGGTCCGGGATTAAAATTACGCATAATACAGTTGAAATTAATTACTACCGGGTACTAATTAAAAAAAAAAGTGAATTTTATTTTCCGACTACAATCAATGAGACCTAGGTAAGTAGCCCACACGCTGTATGCTAACTGTTATATCTCACTCAGGCACTTTCAGTCTGACGATGGTATGAAGAAGTCAGTTCCTGGTTGACCAGTTAGCTGGTCTTTGAGCTGGCCACGTACAGCATGACGGAGCTTCCTGCTAAGTCTGCAAATTCACACTGCACCTGCTTGTATTTCACGTCCAGAATGGCCAGGGATGTCCTGGAAGGTGTCATCAGGTAGCTGTTCATGGTGTTGGCTGGGGCGATTGTACGCTTGATATCTGTGGAGTTTCTTTTCTTGGAGGATTCAGTTGAGTGTGAGCCTGCAGATAGAGAATATAGATCTATAGGACCAGACATATTGAATGTCTATTATGTAACCAGACATATTGAAGGTCTATATGTGAAGAGACATATTGAAGGTCTATATGAGACCAGACATATCAAAGGTCTATATGTGACCAGACATATTGAAGGTCTATATGTGACCAGACATAATGAAGGTCTATATATAATGAAGGTCTATATGTGACCAGACATAATGAAGGTCTATATGTGACCAGACATAATGAAGGTCTATATGCGACTACACATAATGAAGGTCTATATGTGACCAGACACATTGAAGGTCTATATGCGACTACACATAATGAAGGTCTATATGTGACCAGACACATTGAAGGTCTATATGTGACCAGACATATTGAAGGTCTATAAATAGCTATAGATAGAATACATGTCTATACATAACCATAGAAACAATGCAGGTCTCTATATAAAATTATAATGAAAAATATAAACATTTTAAACCAAAGTTTGTTTAATTAGTAAATTGTTTGAAATTAAAATTAAATTTCAGTAATAAATATATGAGAAGAGACTAAACATATATTAGCCATTCACGTAAAAGGCAATATCTAAGATCACCGATGATGTAAAATTAAAAAAAAAAGTTTTTAAACATTTTATGAATGTCAAATTTTACCTGCAATTTTTTCAACTTTTCCTGTGACTAGATTCATCAAAATAACATCATCATCATCTGCAGAGGTCAAGGCCAAGTCATAGCCTTGGTGTGAATTGGCTGGGATGAAGGCTACATCACTAATGCTAGCACTGACTGTCACCTCATAGGTAGTTTCTAGGACACCTGCGGAATGATGAAAAATATAGTAAATAAAAAAGAGTAATAAATGCTGGAGATACCACAGATAAAGTATTCATCTATTTTCTTCTGGATATGAAGGGATAGTGTGGTAAGTTCTATACCCAGCCACCTTTGCTTTCTATAAAGAGAATCAGGTACCCATCAGAGTTTATTGGACATCCTGTAGAGTTAAGCCCAGTATCTGAACTCTAGACTTAGGGTTGGCAACCACACTGTCCTACAATACCTACTAGTACACATTAAAAATTTAGCTATTTAAAAGGAAAGTTTATTAGTTCTACCGTACTCAACATTTTGCGTACATAAATTTATTTAGCATAAGATTTTTAACTGTGATAGTTTAGTCACTCTTATAATACTATTAGCACAGAAACAGATCAATTTATAAACCATAGGGTCACAGCAGAATCTTAACTTTTTATTTATTGAGGTGTCATACTCTGTATACAACTCAAACAGATTATATTTTACAATCAGCTAAGCAATAAACTGCCTATAAAATGTAAACAACATCAATAACTCCACCCAGTTGCCCGTGGCATGTGTACTAAACCTTACCTTCTTCTGAGATGGATGTGACCGTGACCTTGCCAGTCAAGTTGTCCACAGTGACCAGGTGCCTTGAGTCTGGTGAGGTCATTGGCTGTCCAGAAACAGAGGCTGTTGATATGATTGTGTCAGTGAGGCAGTCCATGATCAGCTGGACAGTGTGGTGGTCAGAGACGCACTGGATCACAATGTGACCACCTGAAGATACAAACACAAGCAGTTTATTACAGCCATCTATTACATTTTTTAAACATAAAATAACATATAAATGTACTTTTATTATCTGCAAAAAATATATTAACAAAACACAATTTATTAGAAGATTTTAATATTTTCTTTTAAACAATGTAATATCAAACAAAGACCTGTGGCAAAATACAAAACAGCAGCCAATAAAGAAGGATATCAAGGCCCGTAAATGGGGATGGATTGGTCACACGCTAAGAAGGGAAGAAGGAAATATTGCAAAAAAAAATGCTACGGACTGGAATCCTCGGGGAAAAAGGAAAGTTGGTCGGCCAAAGAAGAAGAACGGTAGAGGAATAGGCTAAGACAGCTGGGCTCATGTGGGCACAGATAAAGGGAGCAGTTCAAAACCGAGTCTGCTGAAAAACTGCAGCCCTCAGGGGCTACAAAGGAAAAATGATGATGATGAATATCTAGCATGTGCATGGTTGAGTGTTTGACTGCTAGCCCAAAGGTCTAAATTTTGGATCTCGGCCTAGACTCGGGACTGCAGGATATCCATGCATCAACACAGCTCTGACTCACAAACCATTGTGCTGATCACACCATCCCTTCATATATCGAGGTAAAAAAAAACAAGAACTCTACTTCATCTGCTCTATGGATAATTTGCTCTGAAAGGGAAACTTATATCTAGCTTATTTATAGCTGAAACTGAAATTTAAAAAAACCTCAAAGAAAATAATGTTACTGACCAATGGATACAAAGTCTATATTTTTGGGTACACAGGCATAAGCAGTGAGATCAATGGCTTTGGTGTAGCTCATGTCCTCCAGGCTCAACTTGAACAACCCATTCAATGCAGCGTGGGTCACGTAACCAAAGTCAAACTCATGCTCCAGGTCATTGACTTGAGGAATAAACAAATCCTGAACCTGTAGACACATTTTTATTCCATATTATAACTGGCAAGGATCACACATACGAAAGCAGTGTTAGATACAGTGCATAGTGTTTTGTACAAAGCCACTTAGTATTTCATAATGTTAGTAAACTAATTTCTTTTAATTTAACCTTATCCTCAAATATTTTATTCCATTTAAGCACATTTAAAAACTCAGCTGTCATTGCCAACAAGCAACTCTTAATCAACAGGCTAGGGACTAAATATAAAATAAAATATTGATATATGATAAACTGCCTGTATCAAAATGATTCTCAATAGGTCAATGTTGGTTCATATAAAATACATTTTTTTAATACAGACAGTTTAACTTATTTTCAATATTTAATGTTTAACTATGTTCAACTGTTTGGATCAAAATGATTTCTAACAGGTCAATGTAGGTTCATATAAATTAAAATATTAGCCTGTAACAAAATAATTTCTAAAAGCTCAATGTAGGTTTATATAAAATAAAATAAGTTCAACTGACTGTATCAAAATGATTTCTAAAAGTTTCAGTATAGGTTCATATAAAATAAAATAAATAAGTGCAACTGACTGTATCAAAATGATTTCTAAAAGTTCAGTATAGGTTCATATAGAATAAAATAAGTTCAACTGACTGTATCAAAAATGATTTCTAAAAGTTCAGTATAGGTTCATATAAAATAAAATAAATAAGTGCAACTGACTGTATCAAAATGATTTCTAAAAGTTCAGTATAGGTTCATATAAAATAAAATAAATAAGTGCAACTGACTGTATCAAAATGATTTCTAAAAGTTCAGTATAGGTTCATATAAAATAAAATAAATAAGTGCAACTGACTGTATCAAAATGATTTCTAAAAGTTCAGTATAGGTTCATATAAAATAAAATAAGTTCAACTGACTGTATCAAAAATGATTTCTAAAAGTTCAGTATAGGTTCATATAAAATAAAATAAATAAGTTCAACTGACTGTATCAAAATGATTTCTAAAAGTTCAGTATAGGTTCATATAAAACAAAATAAGTTCAACTGACTGTATCAAAAATGATTTCTAAAAGTTCAGTATAGGTTCATATAAAATAAAATAAGTTCAACTGACTGTATCAAAAATGATTTCTAAAAGTTCAGTATAGGTTCATATAAAATAAAATAAATAAGTGCAAATGACTGTATCAAAATGATTTCTAAAAGTTCAGTATAGGTTCATATCAAATAAAATAAATAAGTGCAACTGACTGTATCGAAATGATTTCTAAAAGTTCAGTATAGGTTCATATAAAATAAATAAGTTCAACTGACTGTATCAAAATGATTTCTAAAAGTTCAGTATAGGTTCATATAAAATAAAGTTCAACTGACTGTATCAAAATGATTGCCCACAGGTCTAGTGTGTACAGCTCTGTGTTGGATCTGCTGTGAAGCGTCCCTGATCACCACAATTGTCTTGCCACCTTCTGTGTCCTCCTGGTTAGCACACAGCACCCACACCTGGTCCAGGTGCTTCACATACCACAGTTTCTCTGGCTTTTTGTCTGTCTCTACCACCTGGGCAGGTCAAATTTTACATTCACATTACCAGATCTGGGCTTAAAATGTACCTTCTGGCTTAAGACATTTTTATATCATTTTATTTGAGCAATTTAATTTAACCTGGAGAGGGTTATATCAAAGTTAAAAAGAAATAAAAATGAATTAAGCAGGAGATAGTTAAATCTAGCTTAAAGATAAAGAAAAGGGATTAACCAGGAGATAGTTAAATCCAAGTGAAAGATAAAGAAAAGGGATTAAGCAGGAGATGGTTAAATCTAGCTTAAAGATATAGAAAAGAGATTAACCAGGAGATAGTTAAATCTAGCTTAAAGGTAAGGGATTAACCTGGAAAGGATTAAATCCAAGTTAATGATAAAGAAAAGGGATTAACCTGGAGAGGGTTCCATGCGTTATCAGCATCTATGATGACAACTCTGTTCTGATCTGGCTGACTGACGTAGATAAACTTGGTGCCCACCTGGACAGCCCCGCCCCACTGACAGTCCTTGCCACCCACACATAGTGTCATTGGAGCGTCCAGGGCATCAGGGATGAATTTAAAATTACCAAAGTCTGTTGGGATGTGGTGGCGGAGAAGACAGTGGAGGGGGTCGTAGGCGTAGATACCGTTGGCGTTGAACATTAAGAATGTTCCTGTTTCTTTTCTTGTATCTTTGGCTAAATTAACATTACGGGAGTTATAAACATGCAGTAATTATAGTGATTATTATGACTAAAATAAATTAACGATTTAAAAGGTTATTATAACAGGTTTCACAAAATGGAAATTCAACAACAGGTACTCATTTTGTTGTGCAGACTTCTCTATAAATTACTCATGTTAATATCAGTAGCATTCTAAAAGTTTTACTTTATAGTCGTGTTATCATGTAGAGAGTACTGTAATTGTAACATCACTAGTAGTCAAAAGGTGTGGCTACAGTGTAAATAAATAATTTTTATTTTTTACTTAGAGTGTATGGGGTGTATTTTTTTTTATCATGCTTTGGTGTAAAATCAGTAGTTGCATGATTCTTGTTGTAAAAGATGCTTTGGGTGTAGGGCGAAGAAAGAAATTTACATGGTGGCTAATACTTTTGAGATAGATTTCTTTGTTTAAATGAAAGTAACTTATGAGATGGGCGCTGTATAGATAAGACAGATTTCTCCATCTGAATGAACAAAACTCACATGATGGGGATAATGGAGGCAGTATAGACTCTATGAATGCAACTCACATGATGGGGATAATGGAGGCAGTATAGACTCTATGAATGCAACTCACATGATGGGGATAATGGAGGCAGTATAGACTCTATGAATGCAACTCACATGATGGGGATAATGGAGGCAGTATAGACTCTATAAATGCAACTCACATGATGGGGATAATGGAGGCAGTATAGACACTATGAATGCAACTCACATGATGGGGATAATGGAGGCAGTATAGACCCTATGAATGCAACTCACATGATGGGGATAATGGAGGCAGTATAGACACTATGAATGCAACTCACATGATGGGGATAATGGAGGCAGTATAGACTCTATGAATGCAACTCACATGATGGGGATAATGGAGGCAGTATAGACTCTATGAATGCAACTCACATGATGGGGATAATGGAGGCAGTATAGACTCTATAAATGCAACTCACATAATGGGGATAATGGAGGCAGTACAGACACTGAGACAGACTTCTCTGTCCCAACAAACAAAACTCACATGATGGGGATAATGGAGGCAGTATAGACTCTATAAATGCAACTCACATAATGGGGATAATGGAGGCAGTATAGACACTGAGACAGACTTCTCTGTCCCAACAAACAAAACTCACATGATGGCGATAATGGAGGCAGTATAGACTCTATGAATGCAACTCACATGATGGGGATAATGGAGGCAGTATAGACTCTATGAATGCAACTCACATGATGGGGATAATGGAGGCAGTATAGACACTGAGACAGACTTCTCTGTCCCAACAAACAAAACTCACATGATGGCGATAATGGAGGCAGTATAGACTCTATGAATGCAACTCACATGATGGGGATAATGGAGGCAGTATAGACTCTATAAATGCAACTCACATAATGGGGATAATGGAGGCAGTATAGACACTGAGACAGACTTCTCTGTCCCAACAAACAAAACTCACATGATGGGGATAATGGAGGCACTATAGACTCTATGAATGCAACTCACATGATGGGGATAATGGAGGCAGTATAGACTCTATGAATGCAACTCACATGATGGGGATAATGGAGGCAGTATAGACTCTATGAATGCAACTCACATGATGGGGATAATGGAGGCAGTATAGACACTATGAATGCAACTCACATGATGGGGATAATGGAGGCAGTATAGACTCTATAAATGCAACTCACATAATGGGGATAATGGAGGCAGTATAGACTCTATAAATGCAACTCACATAATGGGGATAATGGAGGCAGTATAGACACTTAGACAGACTTCTCTGTCCCAACAAACAAAACTCACATGATGGGGACAATGGAGGCAGTATAGACACTGAGACAGACTTCTCTGTCCCAACAAACAAAACTCACATGATGGGGACAATGGAGGCAGTATAGACACTGAGACAGACTTCTCTGTCCCAACAAACCAAACTCACATGATGGGGATAATGGAGGCAGTATAGACACTGAGACAGACTTCTCTGTCCCAACAAATAAAACTCACATGATGGGGACAATGGAGGCAGTATAGACACTGAGACGGACTTCTCTGTAGTCCCGGCCTGGTTGTGAGCGCTGCATGTGTAAGTCCCAGCATCAGAATCAAACTGAGCATTGTGGATCACTATGTGGCCACCTCCAGCTGTGGAAGTTGAAACTGACATTAGACCATACCATCTTATAAAATTGTTTACATACAAATTGTATATATAAATTTCATTAAATTAGATAACCAAAAGTGCAATAAATATAAATAAAATAAGGAAGGTAAAATGCTGCAGTGTATGGACCAAGTCAGTGGTTCTTAACTTGGGTTTCAATTGAACCCCAGGGGTTTGGTGAGTCAGGGGTTCGAGACACACAGTTGACATATATGTTTGAGATTGGATTTAGAACTAGCGACCGTGGCTGACGCCAGTTGAAATATGACAGCACAACATGGTAATAAAGTGTGACAGAGATAGATAACACACATTGGTATTGTTAAATTTCTGTATCGGGGAAATCTAGATGTCATGACATACATACAGCAAATTGTGTCAAAACCACCATTACAGGTGTGCATTGATCGTGTATATACACGAATAATATACTTTTTACTGCTACATTGTGGTTCAGTATCTGACTTGTGACTGTGGTAATAGAATGTCATTTTTTCTCAATATATAAATCCCTTTATACTATGTTGATAAAAAAAAGTGGCTGGATAAAATGTACAATATGATTCCCATAATAAAAGAAATATGTCTGTATGCTAGGGCTTACAGTAGTGTGTGACATGAGAAGACGTGTCGATGGACTCTCCTCCAAGCTTCCATGAGATGTTGGGCCTTGGTACACCATCAGCATGGCATTTGAGTTCCACATCTGAGCCACTTTGATGGGTCTGTGTTACTGGGTTCACTGTCACAACAGGCAGGGCTGGGGACACCAACAGTTTGTGTTAGGTTAGTTGGCTGACAGTAGATATACATTAGTTAATTGAGTTCCACAACTGTGTTACTGGGTTCAATGTTGCATAAGGCAGGGCTGTAATACCTCTAGCAAAATTAAAAATTTTTCTGTTACTAAGAGTTTTACTTTGAATTTTCAGCAACTTACTTTGTACTCGCAGGCGATGAAGTTGCATTTTAGTTTCATTTTCAGCATCAACACAGGTGTAATTTCCAACATGGTGCAGGCCAACTTTACTGAAGAACAAAGCTCCGTCATCAAATATCTGATAAACAGAGTGGGCAAAGATTCAATGCTTTTGTTGGATGACATTTATAACTGGACAAGAAAAATCTTTTCGTAGAGTGATATTTTGTTAAAATGATTAAGCCAGCTTGGAAAATATCACAAGAAAGTTGAAGTTATGTCAACAACTTAGCAAATCAACAGGTAGGTGTAGCAATCAAACAGATGAAAAGGCTACCAAAATGACACAGTGAAAAAGGGAATGTAAAAATAAAATGTTGTACCATGAGCTGGTGACTGTGTTTATCATCAGCCAACTGGGCGCCATGTCTCTTCCACACAATGTTTTCTGCAGCAATGCCACACTTGAGCTCCAGACCATTTCCTGCTGATGCCAGGGTGGAGATCACTTCTACCTCCTCCTTAGGGCTGCTTGTTGCTGCTGGCAGTTCTGTTAACATAGTGACATTTTAATGACATTATCTCATGACGCTTATAATGGTGTACATATCACATTTAATTTATTTTTAAAAATGGTTGTAAAATATTATAAAATATATGTTTACTAGTGTTAAATAAGCTAATCTACTATTAACATTATTTAGTGTGAAATACCATAGCAGTAGACAGATTTACACATTTTAAATGTAACCTACTGAAATTCACAATTATTTGAATGTGACATCAAGTTTCACACATCTGAAATATGACCAACCGAAAACCTCACACAAACAACCTCACACATGCATGACCTAAAAGAAACCTCACACAGACAGTATCACACATGTATGACCTACCAAAAACCTCACACAAACAACCTCACATGTAAGACCTACCAAATACCTCACACATGCATGACCTACCAAAAACCTCACACAGACAGTATCACACATGTATGACCTACCAAAAACCTCACACAACCTCACATGTAAGACCTACCAAATACCTCACACATGCGTGACCTACCAAAAACCTCAAACAACCTCACACATGTATGACCTACCAAAAACCTCACACAACCTCACATGTAAGACCTACCAAATACCTCACACATCTGAAATATGACCTACCAAAAACCTCACACATGTAAGACCTACCAAAAACCTCACACAGACAGTATCACACATGTATGACATACCAAAAACCTCACACATGTATGACCTACCAAAAACCTCACACATCTGAAATATGACCTACCAAAAACCTCATACAAACCAGCCTCACACATGCTTGACCTACCAAAAACCTCACACAACCTGACACATGCGTGACCTACCAAAAGCATGAGTGAACTCTGAGACTGTAATCTTCCCATCAGCATCTGATGTGTCCGCGTAGCCGATGAAGTCATGCAGGTGGCAGGCTTTGATTATCTTGCTGGAGAAATGCTCCTCCCTCTCCTTGTCATCCAACTCATTGGCAGTGAGGAAGTAGTCGAAGTTCTGGTCATAGTAGCTGAACATCAACATGGACAGGTACTCACGATCTGGGGAGGGGAGGGTTTATGTCATACACAGCACTCAGGCATAAACAACATTTTATTAGATTTATAACATTTCTAGTTTTATAAAGTTATCTTTCAGTCCACCATAGGGCAGATGGAGTAAAGTTCATTTATTACTTTAATCTCAGCATATGATGAGATTGTGTGGCCACATTTTTCATGGACTTTAATAAGGGGAACTGAAACAGACTCAAGACTGGGAACTACTCAAGTATAAATAGTAGTTAAATAGCCTAGTGTTCTAGTGGGATGACAGGCTGACAAGATATTCCAGGCAACTCTTAATGTCTCCAGTGGAAACCCATCTTTCTTGTGTCAACCTCCTGGTCATGTTATACAACCCATATTTAGAACAGTAAGAAGAAGTTACCTGTTTTGACCTCTTGACCAACATACTATTAATTTTGCAGATGAAACAGCCAAGGTATAGTTACCTGTTTTGACCTCTGACCTACATACTATACACTTAGCAGATGAAACAGCCAAGGTATAGTTACCTGTTTAGACCCCTGACCTACATATTTAACATTTAGCAGATGAAACAACAAAGGTGTAGTTACCTGTTTAGACCTCTGACCTACATATATATTATTTAGCAGATGAAACAGCCAAGGTATAGTTACCTATTTTGACCCCTGACCCACATACTATACATTTAGCAGATGAAACAGCCAAGGTATAGTTACCTATTTTGACCCCTGACCCACATACTATACTTTTAGCAGATGAAACAGACAAGGTGTAGTTACCTGTCTTGACCTCCAGCTTACAGTTGGGCTCAACAAACTTCTGGCAGTAGTACAGGAGCAGCTGCTCTTTGAATGCACTCATCTCCTCCCAGGTGCAGTTCACCTTGGGGGCTGGGGCGCTCTCTGTTTTATTCACGACAGGGGCTTGGATCACTGCAGGCTGGGCTTTCTTCAAAGCAGGGGCTTGGTTGTTTGGGGGCTGGGATTTCTTCACATCCTGGGTCACTTCACCAGCTGAAAACATGCAAGACACACAGTAAAAAAAGATGAACAAGATTTAGTGGTGGAAGAAGATTGGTTGACTGGGGGCTGGGCTTTCTTCACATAGTGGGTCATTTCAGCAGCTGAGAGGGGAAACACGCAAGGGTCACATCAAAGTATGATCATTTAGTTAAAGTTCCCTTTTTGATTCTGACGGTCCTTATGGCAAGCGAAGTAGAGTTCACCTGTTTCTGTGACCTTGGCATATAAAGGGATGGTTTGGTCAGCCCTATGCCCAGCAGCCTTTACTTTCCTTAATGTAAGTTAAGTACCCATCAAACTCGAGATTTTTGGGTTAGCAGTATAGCAGTCTACTGCTAGGCCACGCCATCCCATTTAGTAGTATATCATTTAGTAATGGAAGTGAAACAAAAAAAGAAGCCAGTTTTGAAATGGCATTTCTCTATATAAATGTTAAGAGTATGTGGGAATTAAAACATCAATATGGTTATCTTTACCCTTTTGAATGTCCTGGGGAAATTGATAAATCTCTTTGGAGGGGATGTTGACTTTTTCTTTCTCTTGTTCAGCCAGCCACATTTTCTCTGTGGGTTACAATAATAAAGTTTTTGGTTTTCTCAATAATGAAACAGTCATGATCCACTACAAAGTAAAAATGAATAGTTCTTTATTTGTTCTCTTGGGTTTCTATTTCCAACATGGTACAACAGTAAAAAAAACAAAAACAGTTTTATAAACTAGGGTCTAGGAAATTACCTCTCATCATTGCATAATACCCCAATGGGTAATTAATCCCCCACCCCCAGAATAATTATCAATATAATTCTTTATTCAGCTCCTGACCCCTACTCCTACCCATCTCCATATTCCTTACTTTAACCTATCCCTATCTATATATGCCTGGGAGTTTTACTTTGAGGGGAGGGGGGTGCAGAGGTTATGTTCAGGGGTAATTATTTTGAGTGGCATTTATTGGTGAAAAAGTGTATTGCTCCCACAATAATATACTCAATATTAAAAAATAACTTCTTTAAGTTCCAACCCACCATGATAGTTTTTTTGTTAAATCCCATACAACCAAACAAGATTCAACAAAACCATTACAAAACATAAGTAGGGCCTACCTTTCTCTTGGATGTTCTTCTTGAAGCACCTGCCTAGCCTGTCCACCCTGATGTGGACTCTGTTGATGCAGGCAGTCCGGTGCAGCTGGCAGTGGGATGGGTACTGGACGCCGTCAGAGCCACAGATTGGCCTGTGGTGACCAGCGCAGGCTTCCTGGGGTACACACTTGCACATGCCACTCACACAGATACGGCCAGCACGGCACTCAAAGTCAACTTTACACAACTCTGTAAGCAAGTTATAGACATGAAATTAACAAGATGTAATTATAAAAAAACTATTTTTTAAACAGATAAACTAGGGGTTTTGTATTGAAGGTAAAAAAAAAATGATATTTAAAATAAAATTTATTTTTCTCACAATAATTTTTCCCCTTATAAGTTAATAGGAATCTTTACAATTATAAAAGTTTCAAATATAACTGAATTGTTGTAGTATAATATTAAACAGTTTTAAGTGTCTTATTCTAATAATTAAATAAGTCTGTGCTTTATAAAAATATTATTCTGAAGAAGTTAAAAATATACAAGGAATAACTAAAGTTTTTATTGAACTAATTACAATATGAAATTAAAAACACAACTTATTTTAGAAATCTGTAAACATTGTAATGAAATTAACATTTTCAACAATAACAAAATACAACAAGAAACAACAAAATGTTAAAAAATTTATTGAGCAAGTTCTCACAAAAAATGTGCACTTAGCTTCACCAACTTCAGCCTGAGTTCTATATAAAAAAATACATGACACTTAATATAAAAATTAGGAGGAAATTAGGAGGAAACAACAACAGTAAACTACAAGTATATACAAGTGGTTTTGTTACTGATGCTTTTTAAAAATTATTTTATTTCAAATAAATAAATAATATGAGACAAATAATTTAATTGCAGAGGAAACTTTCATTTTACAATTTAGTAGTCTTTATAGACTGATAATTTTTGTGTAATCTGACAAGACAGAAGCAATTAAGTTATAGAGCTTTCCACTGTTTTCACAGCACTGCACACATTTCAGTTCTAGCAATACACTATGTAAATGTAGCTGGTTCACTTGAAAAGTAACAGATCAAAGATCACTTTTTTCATTTTGGTTTACTCGTGTTGTGTTTTTTAAAAGACCATGTAACTATTTTTAGCAAGGCAGCTTTTTTAGAATTTTTCCTTATTACTTTGTTATGCTTAAATCAGGTCAAGAAAACACATTATTTTTACACATGGAACCAGAAATCTCAATAAAAAAAGTAAAAAAAAATGTTTTTAGACTTCCACACAGTCCACCAGCTTTAGTGATAATCCTACCTCAGAGAAAACTTAAATCTGGATAATGAGCACTTTGTTTCCTTAAAGTTCCCAGTTTTGTTTTTTACACTCCAATAACTGGGATGCTGCTCGCTTTAGAAAACAATGTTAAAACCAAGCAGGTCAACACATAACCTTTAGCTAAAATAAATTTGTACCAGCTACCTAGATATTTTTTCACTCATTAAATTTAAATCCTAACCTAGATTACCAGTGATAACAAAAAACAATGCTGAATGTAAAACAATATGTTTGGGTTTCCACTATAAATTCCACCTCCTTCATCTACATTGTTTTCATTGATATCAATAATACCATTTACTTATGAATTCATACAGCTAAACATCTTTCTAACACAGACTATATAAAATCCTAAAAAATAATACATCCATCAAAAACAATAATTGATCTAACCAAAATAGCATGCAAAGAGAAAATAGTCTAATGCTCAATGAAGCTGCACCACAGCTATTATTAATGGAGCTTAGATATAAGGGAGCTAACTATCAAGCAAGTAGAGAAACATCAATAAATCTTTAAAGAAGCAGAGCTATCAAACATGTAGCATATGAGAAAACATCAATTAAACATCTATATTCAAAGACACAAAACTATTAACAGATAAGATAAATAAAATAAATATTTATATTCAGAGACAAAAACTATATAACACCTAATATAAATACAGTAAAAACAATAAATTCAAAGACACTAGATAACATCAAATAAAAATAAGATAACATCAATAGCTGTCTAAGTTTAAAGTAATAACTCTACATAAAATCTAGTATAAATAAACATTAATGAAGATCTAAAATTCAAAGAAACTAATCAATCAGCCATGTAGTGTGTAACTGGAGTGAGATCAATAAAAATAAAAAAAACCGGGAGTGATCTCCCCTAAACTTTCTCGAATATTCTTATATAAAATAACAGGGGATGGGAACTCGGAATATAGACATGATTTTTAATCCATTTTAAATACTTAAAGTTTTAAAAATAGAATAAAATCTCGTAGACAAATTAATTGCACACCAAGTGAACGCAAATAAAAAAAAGCGCATAATAGTGCGCAATATTATTAGTACTTTTAAAATTTACATTAGTTTTTTGAGAAATCGGAAGTAGCGTAAATTACTACTTCCAGTCAACGGAAATTACTCAAAATTTAACAGAAGGTAGAGAATTAGATCTTTTACTTACATGTGAAATTTCATTTATCTATCTGAAATAGTACTCAAGTTATAGGCTTTTAAAAAATTCAAAGTAGGAAAAGTACCACTTCCGGTTATCGGAAATCGCTCAAAAGTTGATACGGATCTACGATTTTGATAAAATACTTATATATGAAATTTCATCAACCTAGCTGTAACGGTACTCAAGTTATCGTGTTTACACACAGACACACACACGGACAGACACACACACACACAGACATACGGACAAGATTGCAAAATTATGTTTTTCCGTATCAGTGAGGTGTAAAACGTCGAGATTTGTAAAAATCTCGATTTTTTTTTTTTTGCACGATTACAATACTTTCTCTATACTACGTATATACGAGAAAGTAAAAAAGCAGTGTTAAAAAAAATTAAAATCACCAAACATTTATATCAGTGGAGCAACATCAACAGACAGCTACGTTCACTGGAAAACATCAATGGACAACATCAAGGATGAAAATACCTATTGGCAATGACACGATATATCCATCATCTTCGACAGCCTTAGTGCTGGTGGAATCTTGCATGCTAGGCCCAGGGGTGGTGGTGGTGCTGTCCCATGAAGACGAGGACCCTGGAGGGGGTGGGTTGGGGCTGGTCGACACATCAGACTCTGTGTTCAGCTGGCTGGGTTCGTAGTGGGTCACCTCTTTCTTAGAGATTTGGACGTCCGCCTGTTTTTTGACCACCTCGGCCGGCTTGGTCACCTTGACCTCCTCAGTGTCCATGAACTTGGCCTTGTTGTCAGCTGGGTTGGTCAAGTCTTTCTTGACCGATGGCTTGTGTGCTGGCGCGCTGGAGTCGTAGATGACACCCTTGCTGTAGTGGGAGTTGTCAATGTGGTTGCTGGGGTCGTCGGCCTGCATGGTCAGTGGGGTCACTTGTTTTTTCTTATTTTCTTTGGACTTGGACTTGACCTTTGTTTTCTTCACTGGTGCGAGGGGGGTTTTTAATAGTGAGACGGTGTTTTTTATTGGTGAGGCGGTGTTCTTTACTGGTGAGACTGTGTTCTTCAGAGGTGAAATGGTGATGGCTCCATCCTGAGACTCGACGACCTCATAGTTCTCTTCATTTTTAGTTATCTTATCATCCAAATCATCATCCCACTCATCACCTACATCGGAATAGTATTCATCTTCTTCGTCATCATCATCATCGCCATCATCATCAATATCATCAATATTTACATCAACAGGTTTTACTTTCTCTTCAACGATCACCTCGTCTGTTATTTTAACCTCAATTTTTTTCTCCTCCTTTTTCTCCACCTCCGCACTCTTCTCATCATTCTCATCGTCTTCATCGTAATTTTCAAACACAGTGCTGTTCCAGTCTGGCCAGTCGACAAAGTCCACCTTCTTCTCTGTGCTGTCCGGCGTGGCCTGAGTGCTTGAGGCTGTGTCAACCTTACCTGGGGTGGTGATGATGGACGGGTTGGCGATGCTCTCCCCCTTGCCGTAGATGGAGTCCAGTTTGTGTGTGACGGGGGGCTCGGCCTTGGGGGTGCTGGTCAAGCCGGGGGTGGAGGAGGTGCTGGCCGGTTCTGTTAGCTTGATGCTCCCCACCTCCTTCACCATGGCCACATTCTCAGCTGAGTCCTGTGGCTGGTCCTCAGGTAACTTGACCTCTTCTGGTTTTGTTTCCTGAGGCTTGACCTCCTGAACTTTGACCTCCTGAGGCTTGACCTCCTGTGGCTTGACCACCTGTGAATTATCCTCCTTAGGCTTCTCCTCCTGAGGCATGTCACCTTGTGGCTTCTCCTCCTCTGACTTAGCCTCCTGAACATCCTTCACCAGATCAGGTTCCTGTTTCTGTACCTGCTCATCAGCTTTAACCTCCGGCCCATCCTTCCCCTGCTCAGTCCCTTTAACTTTCTCAGGCTTCGCTTCCGTGCTCTTACTCTCCAGAGTTTCCTCCGAGCTGTCGTCTATCCGTGTATCCAACGCGTCATCAGGACTGTAGTAAATCCTGTTATCCGTCTCCACAAAAGCGTTCATCTCATCGTGCCTGTAGAGGCCCCCAGAGAAGTCTGCAGCACGCGTGGTGGCACTGGTTGTTTTCTCAGTGCTGGTCTCAGTGACTGGGGCCTGAGTAGTGGTGCTGGTAACTATGTTAGTGACTACAGAATCATCCTCACCTTCTGATTCCTCACTGCTGTCTTCTTTGGAGTCAGCAGCCTTTGGGTCCCATAAATTATCATCCAACTTTTGCTCCCACCATTTTGTGGTGCTGACTTCAGGCTAAGAAAAAAAGTATTTGTACACATTGGATGTTGCAAAGTTAATCCCACTTTATACTTATAGCAGTAAGCAGTTACAAGTAATTTCAATAACACCACATGTAAAAATATTCCAAAGTAATTTGAAACAATCAATAATCAAACTTACTAAAAGTAGGCACCATTACATTCTAACTTACTAAATGAATCAGTAGCTACAAATTGTATTAATACATTGGGTAGTGAACATTATGATTTATGTTCTGATTTACAATAGGTAGTCAACATTATGTTCTGACTTGTTATATACAGTCAACATTATGTTCTGACTTGTTATATACCGTCAACATTATGTTCTGACTTGTTATATACAGTCAACATTATGTACTGACTTGCCATAAGTAGTCAAAATGATGACAACATTATGTTATGACTTGCTATAAGTAGTCAACATATAATCAACTTACTATGGGTTCAAAAGCCCTCCACTTGTCCTTGTCTGATGTAGGTTTCCACCACAACTCATTTTCTGTTTTGGTTGGATTTGAACTCTAAAATAAATAAATAAAAACAAACAAACAGTTAACATCAATTGTATGAATTTCACAAATATACTTCAAAATAGTGAGAGTCTACAAGCCAACTGTTATCATTTACTAGAATCAGATCCACTCTCCTGTATGTGACTGTGGGAGAGTGGTGTACTTGTGGTTCAAATCCACTAGTTGCACAGCAAGCAGGCAAATACACTGGCTGGAAAACTTATTAAATAAAACTCCAACTTTAGCAAATGTGGCTGCCACATGAGTTTAACTCAGCTGGTTTAGATTTCTGTGTTACAATACCATAAGGTCATCAATGTCTTCTCAGTTCATGTCTACTCCCAGTATAAGATCAACAGTGTCTACTCAGTTCAAATATGTACCTAGCATAAGATCATCAGTGTCTACTCAGTTCAAATTTGTACCCAGCATAAGATCATCAGTGTCTACTCAGTACAAATCTGAACCCAGTATAAGATCATCAGTGTCTACTCAGTTCAAATCAATACCCAGCATGATCATCAGTGTCTACTCAGTTCAAATCAATACCCAGCATGATCATCAGTGTCTACTCAGTTCAAATCAATACCCAGCATAAGATCATCAGTGTCTACTCAGTTCAAATCTATACCCAGCATAAGATCATCAATGTCTACTCAGTTCAAATCAATACCCAGCATAAGATCATCAGTGTCTACTCAGTTCAAATCTATACCCAGCATAAGATCATCAATGTCTACTCAGTTCAAATCTATACCCAGCATAAGATCATCAGTGTTTATATTGGTATATTCAGCAATGTACACAGAAACATCGTAAACAGGGTGGAAGGTCTTGGTATATTCAGCAATGTACACAGAAACATCATAAACAGGGTGGAAGGCTTTGTATATTTAGCAATATACACAGAAACATCATAAACAGGGTGGAGGGCCTTGGTATATTCAGCAATGTACACAGAAACATCGTAAACAGGGTGGAAGGCTTTGTATATTTAGCAATATACACAGAAACATCATAAACAGGGTGGTTGGCCTTGGTATATTCAGAAATGTAAACAGGGTAGAATGCCTTAGTAAATTCTGCACTGTACACATAGACATCATAAACTGGGTGTTCGGCCTCACACTGATTGGCCAGCACCAGACGGTACAGTGCCAACGTCCGTCCGCCTCTAGCCGTCAGAGAGACAGCACCAGACGGTACAGTGCCAACGTCCGTCCGCCTCTAGCCGTCAGAGAGACAGCAGCAGACGGCACAGTGCCAACGTCCGTCCGCCTCTAGCCGTCAGAGAGACAGCACCAGTGTCAGGTGACAGTGTAGGTTTCACAATTAACGTCAAGAGATGACGTCTATGATATCAGCTGACTGTCCACTAACGAGATGACCTTTTCTAAATTAAACGCGGGGAGAGCGAACAGGAACTTACAGCCCGTCTGAGGACTCGCCGGTATTTCCCTTAATTAAAAAATATAAACCAATAAACTAAAAACTGTTATTCACAAAAAAAAATAACTTAAGATTGTATGTACTACTTTAAAAGAAAATTTCTCTACAACAATTTTAACTGTGTGATCCTAAAAAGATGTTAGCCTATAAATGCGAGGAGGAAAAAAAAATCTTTGATCATTTTACCCCCGGAGTATGGAAGATACTTAGGGCCTGATAAGTGTATAGCTCAAGCATTAGTTTCAGTACGCCTGGGCGTTTTTTAAAAGGCTGCCGGCCCCCCGGGGTATAGATGGTTAGATTGCGTGATGGTGTATGGGGAGATTAGGGGGGCGGATCGATGCTCGGACCAGCAAGACGGCGGTCTTACATCATACATCCGCTTTTGTTTCAACGGGCGGGGGACATTTTCCCCAAGTTGGAATATGGAAGAGAGATAAAAAAAAAATTTCCGGGTAGCATACATTATTCTATTGGCTCAAGCATAGAATATACATTAACCCTCACGATGGGAGTAGAAAAAAAATAAATGAATATATACGACTATCGATTCAGACACTCTTATCAACGCCCCGCTATTTCAAGACTTGCACCAGCATGTTACCCCCCCCCCCCCCCCTGCTCCCACCCACACACACACCGGACACGTGCTGGTACCACCCAGGCTAGGACCGTGACCAGTGATTGAGTCAACCTGGGAGACGTATTCACCGCACACGGCACGATACGAAGATGGAGAGCACAAGGTCAGAGTTCCCCCCTGCCGTAAGCCAGGGCAGGGTGAATAGCGAGCAGAAAATCGATCGAGTAGCAACAAGAACAGAGAGCTGTTTATTTCTTCATTGATCTAGCCAGTAGCCAAGGCATGTACACGGCAGAGGTTGCTGTCCGTTCACAGGGCCATATGTCAGGGGCTAATGTAAGGGCTCATACGGGACACAAAGAATATGTCAAGGGCTAATGTAAGGGCTCATACGGAACACAAAGAATATGTCAAGGGCTAATATGTCAGGGGCTAATGTAGGGGCTCATACGGAACACAAAGAATATGTCAGGGGCTAATATGTCAGGGGCTAATATGTCAAGGGCTAATGTAGGGGCTCATACGGAACACAGAGAATATGTCAAGGGCTTTTATGTTAGGGGCTAATGTTGGGGCTCATACTAAACACAAAGAATATGCCAAGGGCTACACACAAAGAATATGCCAAGGGCTAATATGTTAGGGGCTAATGTTGGGGCTCATACGAATAACAAAGAATATGTCAGGGTCACACAAAACACACACACACACAGAATATGTCAAGGTTGGGGCTCTTGTGAAACACACACAAAGAATATGCCAAGGTCTAATATAAGGGCTCATTCGAAAAAGCAAAGAATAATTCAAGGGCTAATACAGCGGGTCACACAAGATACACACAAAGAATAAATAAACAAATAATATGTTAAGGGCTAATGTTGGGGCTCATATGAAATAAAAACAAAGAATATGTGAAGGGCTAATGTAGGGGCTCATATAAAACACACAAAGAAAATGTCACGGGCTAATATAAAATTAATTCACGTGAAATACAAAGAACATGTTAAGCTCTGATCTAATACAGCGGTTCACCAAATGTACGTGTTTGTTGTGCTAATATTGAAACTATCAATGTGTTTGTCCGTAAGGCTGATACTGAAATTATTGATGTACAACTAAATCAATTCGTTACTGGCAAACCTAATCATCACTATAAACCAAAGCAGATGAAGGGCCTAAGTGGCCAAAACAAAAATCCGTTTCCGGAAACACGACGTTAAGCCTCCTGAAACAAAGGTATTTCCAGGCGGAAATTAATTTTTAAAAAATATTACTAGACTAAGCGTTCTTATCACAATTTTTGTGTGGAGAATTTTCTTCGAAGAGAGTATTAAAGATTTCTTTAACAACAAAAAGCAAAAGAACTGATAGTTATTCGGGCTTAATATGAAAAAAAAAACAACAACAACAAAAACAAAACAAAACAACAACAACACAAAAACAACTAACAACCCCATGTCTAATACTACACCACCTGTGCACAGGCCTGATGAGATACTAAAAAATGAACTCGGGTAATTATCCTAATTCTGCTAACTACACCGACCCAAGTGATTACACAATATTAAACATCTTTAAACTTCTGGGCTATGTTGAAGACATTTTCTCGTCAATAGAAAAAAAAATGTATTTAGAAGTTAGCGAAAATAACGCATCAGAAAAAAGCCTATTTAACATTCTAACTATGGACTTAAAAAAAAAAGTTTAAACTTGTCTAATAAACTTCATCTCGTCCGTTTCAAATGTTTGTGTTATTTGCAGTTTTGGCTTATTAAATTACAAGCGGGGAGGATGAATAGCGGAAGAAGCCAGTGGCAGTAAATGTTGATGGCTGTCCAGATCATAAGAATATATCGCTTCATTAGCTGCAGTTTATCAATGTTAAAACCGCTTAGGTAAATCGGCGTCCATCGAGCGGAATCTGATCTCTACTTTCCCCATGGTTTTTTTCTTCTTCGTAAATCTAGAACACATTTACATCATCGTTGAAGATTAGATTTTCTAGCAGCAATTTTTTTTTTCTGTTCCGTAGAACTTAAAGCTGAACGGGCTAGATTCATAATTTCAATAATAAAGCTCAAAAGACGACCGAAGACTGTTCATTTCTACTAAAAAAACTAGGTTTTACGGTTAGTTTATGCTAATGCAAATAATGACGGTAGCTTAAACAACAGACACACAGATTATCTAAGAACAGTCGGCCCAGCTTTTGACGTCTATGGTAGCGCTTTGAGAACAAAAAATTTTTTAGGACGTAGGCTACTATTTTTTTCCTCTCGCAAGTCTTTCGCTGCTGGTAATACTATTTATACACGAACATTTACTTAATTAAATTTGATTAAATCTAAATACTAAGCATACATTATCAGAAAAAAAAGGAAACTAGAAGCTTTAATTAAAAAAAAATAAAATAAAAAAATAAGACAGTTGGAAATAGAATTGCCGCGATTTTGAATGAATATGGCGAGTGTTTTTTTATTATTATTTTTACCCTTTGTGTTTCGTTATACAACCCCCCCCCCCAACAAAACGTTCCAAATGTATGACCTTAATTTAAACGTATCAATAAGTGTTGGAGTATTTAGACCCCCTCCCCCCTCGTTAGTCCGCAGCAGTAATTAAAATCCTCTACTTAATTGAGCACAGCCCACTGGATTAGTCTAGATTAGCTTATCCCCTTCGGCGGGTACTGACACCCTGGCTGCCACCAGTGAATTGAATCCGACGCCAACTCTGTTGTCACGTTTGCGACCTGCGAGGCAGTCAGCGTATTACGTCATCGGCACTCAGGGAGAAAAAAAAAATATCCCAGAAGCGATAGCTGTTGAATTGTGGAGTAGAATTTAGAACAAGCCGCTTAAAACTTTCTAGATGTTAATGGTACTGCATGCATCATGGGTATTATAGCTGTTGAATTGTGAAGTAGAATTTAGAACAAGCCGCTTAAAATTTCTAGATGTTAATGGTACTGCATGCA